TGCAGATCATTAAATCTTCCAGAAGCATCATAGATACCTTCAAGAGTTTGATGGCTTGCTCTGTGACGAGCTCCTCCTTTTTATTCCACTCGACGGAGCTCATGACACTGGTCCACACGATGCCGATCATTGTCTGCTCAGAGATGCTCGTTTTCTTCATCTCTTCACGAACGTAGGCAATGATCTGGGGAGCAAGCAAGACAAAAATTAAACAAATACAGGCACAGTAAACCTTCAAAGCCAAACGATGGATGATTCAAAACATTCTTATTTTTAAATAAAGATGTGAAAATGAACTTCACTATAGAATTTTAAAAGTGCTTTAAAAATTAAAATGGCCAGAGATGGACAAGGCAGAGACTCACGTCTTTGAGGGTCTCGCCGCGCAACATCTGCTCTTGCAGTTCTTTCTGAAGCTCTTTGCGTGCTCCAATGGACTGCTGGTTGCGAGCAAAGTCCGAGAGCTCCTTCAGCCCAGCGTCGGTGAAATATTTTGAAAAGTGTTCACAGCTACGCTTGTTGGCAGGGAACAGCTCCTGTTTTGCGCAAAAGAGGTTACATTAACATCAGCAAGAAAAAAAACTATTGGCATGAGATTAATGTGGCATAAGAAAAGTTCAACATCTTTTGAGGCTGCAAACAAAATTGTAAAATTTCAGATTTTGTTAAGTTAAGTTTACTCAAGTAATGTGCTTTTGTCAATTGCTGTGAAGTTGTTGTGAAGCTGTTGTATTCTTATATGGCTTTTATTTTGTTTTTAAATTTCAGGTTTAGTTTAGTAACTCAACTTAATTTTTATTCATTTATATTCATATTTTTATGAATTATTGCCAAATAATAATGTTATTAAACCGTTTACAGATTATTTACCAAAACATTCAAAGATCATGTTTAGTTATTTTACTTCTGATTATTTTATAGTTTTAATTACATATAATCAAAGTATTATTCACACACTAAACCTTTACCGTTTTATTCATAGATTTTTACATAACTTATATATTACTCCAACTAAGCTATATTTTGGACACTTTTGGGATTTTGTGTGTTGCATCCCATGTACAATATATACCATCAGCCTGTTGTCCATGCCAACTTTACGCAGGCTAGCAGCAACTGAGTTGATGTCTTTTTCGTTGATCCAAGATTTGAACAGTTTCACAGCGAAGGCAGCAGAGACACCTGCAATAAAACCCAGATGACAACTTAGTTACACATTCTTCACTCTAAGTGCCACTGCTAGTCTAGCGCCATTAAACAGGTCTGTCATTACCTTCCTTGACCAAGTTCTCATTAAAGAGGCTGTTCAGGATGGAGGCTGATATATTGCCATTGGCCAGCAGGATTCCGGTAAGCATGGCCAATTTATTCCTCTCGGACTCTGTGAACCCTTTTAGAAACAGCAGCAGCTGTGAAAAAAGAAAAGAAAAAAGACGATACTTTCCAGATGCACAACGAGACACTTTGTTTGACTAACAAATATGGTGTTATCCTTAGTTCAACAACTTTGCTTACCTTCTTGATCTCCTCTTCAAACCCTTTCTCCAGGTACTTGTAACGCCTGATCAGCTTGTTAAAAACCTACACACAAGGCGAACATGTTGAGACATGCAAGGAGGAAGCCGGTAAAAACAAATTACACCCGTCACAGCGATATTAATTCAGAACAAGCTCCAAAACAACAATTTTTCCGGGAAACAATTTCCCGGTCAGGTAGCATATAATTGTAAATACCTGAGCGTAAGCCTGCATGGTCTCCAGGTCTTCACTTGCCGTGAAGAGGCAGTACTCAGTACGGGTCATGTCATCAGATAGAGTCCCTCCTGGGGCTGCGGGACGGAAAAATTAAAAATAATAAAAGTAAAATTACACACACATACATCTTATATAAAAATACTCTTCAGTCTAATTTAAGTTTATTGCCACATCAGCTTCACAGGCTATTTCATGGCAAATATTATACATTAGAAATATAGTAGAAAACAATACAAAATACAATAAATAAATACAATTTATTTTATATATATGTATATATATATATATAAAAAGTATTGCACAAATTTCTATAAAAGATACTTTAAATTTACCTTTGAAAGAAATTGCAAAAGTTTTTCTGGGTCCATCTTATAAAACAAGTCCTTAAAAGTTTGCCCTGATAATAACCTTTGTCTCATGACATTAAATATTGGACAGACCAAAAGCACGTTTCAATGTCAAGCGAGTCCTGCAATATTATAAAAATACTAGTAAAATAAGAAATATTTAGCAAAAACAAACTGTAGACATTTTATTTATAAATAGATGTTAGTAGAAAATATTTAGTAAAAAAAAAAAAATGTAGATGTACACCTTATATATAAATATATTAGTAAAAATATTTATTAAAAGTAAATAAAAATGAATAAATTGTAGTGATTAAAAAATATTTAGTAAAAACTTTAAATGTACTTGTTATAATTATATTAGTAGAAATACTTAAAGTAAATAATTCTATAAATTGTAGATATGATAGTACAAATATTTAGAATTTTTTTTTTTAGATGTACACCATGTATACATATTGGAAAACAATTGTAGATATGACAAATTACATTAGTTGAAAATTTGTTTAAAAAAATTGCATGTACACCATTTAAATGTTAGTAAAAAGTATTTAGTAAAAGTTATTAAAATATATAAAATGTAAATATTTGACTCCCATAAAATGAGTAGAACATAATTTGTAAAAATAAACTTTAAATTTAAATATAGAGTACATCTAAAAACATTCAGTGAAAAATATTTAGTCAAATGAAATTAAAACACAGATTGTAGATACACATTTCCATATAAATATTAGTGAAAATATTTAAAAAAAAAAAAAATTTAGATGTACTTTTATAAACATTTAGTAAAATTAATACAATGTCAATTTAAAAAAAACACACATTTATATAAATTAGCAAAAATATTTAGTAAAATTTAAAAAAATAAATAAAAGACTAAATAGCAGCCCACTGCCAGAGCTGCAGACGGCTGCTTACCCAGCATTCCTCCAGCCACCAGGATGTCGAAGAGGGTCTCAGCATACCGGCGGTAGTCGAGCTTGGCGCCAGAGGCATCGAGGAACTTTGCAACCGCTTCCAAATCTGTGCCAGTTTGGTTCAAGCCTTGAACAATACTTTCTTGAAACTGAGTAGGGTCAAATCTCTCCTTTTCATCTGCGAGGAAACAAGAGAAAGTTATAAATGGGAGGCACCACTTTAAAACACTGTTTTCAAGTGTTCCTTAGACTACTCACCTCTTTTGCGAGTTTTAAAACGCTGGCCGGTAAGCGTTGGCTTTTGCTGCTTTTGATTATTCATAAAAGACACCTAAGACAAGACAAAATTAAAGAAAATATTACTGAACATATCTGTGTTCAGATTCATTTCACTGAAGAGCACAAAGAAACTGCAGATGGGGCATGACATTTCCCAACCCAACAAAACCAGCAGTAATCCTAATAGAAAAGGTGCAAAATAACCCCTTTAAAATTTAATAAACGACTTAAACTTTTAATAAACTGGTTTAATTAGACCCAGTTAAACCTGTATTAATCCAGAGTGTAACCACGAGTCACGTAGCCTCCTAAAAAAAAACTAGACAAGTTAGTGTCATTAATATAAAATGAATTCATTATTGTATACAGATATATTGCTGCATAAAAGTATGAGTTCTATAGGTCTGAGCTGCAACTCACGCGCCGGTCTCGCGCTAAAGCTAACCGGCTAATATGAGGCCTAACCAGTCCGAATCTAATTTAAAAACCACCTATTATCCCTATATATAGTTATTTCAAATTCAAACGAAATAATAATTAACAGACATCAAATAAAGAAACAGAAAGGACAAAACATTATATTGTTTTCATTTAATAGCCATCATGTCGCGAGCTCCGCCATCATGATTTAACTTAACACAGCTGATCACAAACGTGAGCCTAAAAACGGCCATCCTTTAAAACCACGGGTTTGCAACAACTCAAGATTAAGCTGTATACGCTCATTATAGGTATATAAAACAAATGAAGGACTTACCGAAATGAATGCAGATAAAAAACGGCTTTTTGAACCCAAGAACAAAGCAAGACAATGGCAGGTCCGAAAGCGACACAAAAACCCTCCCGGATGGCAAGAGGCTGCTGCGCATGCGCGGAAGAACAACTGAAAAGACAATGGATCGGTCCATTACAGGGGAGCGCGGGGGGTTAGAGGGGTGCTGTGTTGGTATGGTCACGCAAAATATACATTTAAAAGTATTATTTTGACAAATTCACACAGTACAATGTCACGAAATGTTCGTAGAGCCAAATATTTGCTCGTGTCACTGCTTACGTGGAAGTTTAAAAAAAAGATCACCCCTCTGTGCTAACAGTGATTCGTAAGTCCGATGCTGGTCATACCATTGTGATGAGGGGTGTGATTTCTTTATCGCCAAGGTCGAACCATAAAATAGCTTTTAGTTAAATGGGGTCAACACGAAAACATTTCGTTTGCATATTTTCGTAATTATTTTTTTTTTTTGTACTTTACATTTTAGAGTTTGTGTCAAATATGATTTTTATACTTTAATTCAGGCATGATTTTACACTGACATAATGAATCAAATCAATATTTCATGTCCATTTAACATAAAACCATGCAAACTATTGACCAGAGACAATGAGACAAAGAGTGCATGTACTTACCAGAAAACAGCATCTTACACATGAGCTTTCTAATAAAAAAGTCCTGAGGCTTAAGTTCGCTTTGATAAAAAACTTGGGTGGTAACCAGTCATACGTGGTCACGTATTATTGCAAAATAAACACCTTTACCTTATTAATAAAAACGGCAAACAATATAAAGTGTTATGCACTTTGATTAACTTTATTTTTCCCACCACAATCACACATTTCAGAACTTGAACACCACCAGAAAGTAAACCATCATCACTACTCATCTACAGACACATGATACATATTTAATTATTCCTCATCTTCAGCATCCATACAGCTTGTTGACCCTCAGGATGTCGGTGTTGGACATTCCCTGGCTCTGTCCAATTTCCACTGTCTCATCAGGAATGGGTGTGATGGTTTCCAGGCCAGGTTGGATTGAGAAGGTAGTTTTTCCATAGTGCATGATGGAGCCGTAGTCGTATGGAGTGTTTTGGTTGTTGGTGTTTTGTTTCTGGAAGTTTTGGGCCATATCAGGAGAGATGTTCTCCCAGTTGATCATGACATACTTGTCGCGATCGCTCCTGGTTTGCTCGTGGTAGAAGCCCAGGGCATGATTGAGCTCATGCTGAACGAGGCCGTGATACACACAGTCATTCCTTCTGAGGGAGACCACCTGTTTGCCACCAGTTCTACCATAAGAAGAAAAGCACCTGAGAGCAGAGAGGAAATCATGGGGTTAAATATAATCAATGTTTTGGACTAAGGTCAGGTAAATGTTTTTGGTTTTGTATGATTGTTATATGGAGTGTTTTGGTTGTTGGTGTTTTGTTTCTGGAAGTTTTGGGCCATATCAGGAGAGATGTTCTCCCAGTTGATCATGACGTACTTGTCGCGATCGCTCCTGGTTTGCTCGTGGTAGAAGCCCAGGGCATGAAGGAGCTCATGCTGAACGAGGCCGTGATACACACAGTCATTCCTTCTGAGGGAGACCACCTGTTTGCCACCAGTTCTACCATAAGAAGAAAAGCACCTGAGAGCAGAGAGGAAATCATGGGGTTAAATATAATCAATGTTTTGGACTAAGGTCAGGTAAATGTTTTTGGTTTTGTATGATTGTTCTCACCCATCTTTGTTCTCAATACTGATATAGTCGGTCTGAGTTGATCTGGCCACAAAGCGAATGCAGGTTTTGGAGCGAAAGGTGGACATGGCGTTCGCAATCACTGATTTCTCATAAGAAGCTGCAAATAAAAAGGGTTTACAATTAGATCTACACAAATGATAGATATGCTCAATGAATGAAGGAGATTCACTCACAGTATTCCCTGCTCACTGTGTAAGGGACCTCCACTATGTTGTCAGAGTTTTTCTTCCAGAAACAGTTGTTGTTAAAACAGGAGAGAGCATTTCTGGTTTTGGGAAACACCAGATCTCCTTCAATCAAGACTTCAGAAGATCCTGTATTAAAGAGAACCATACTAATAAAATAACATATTTATACATCTTGACCACATTTTACCACTATTTTGTGAAACCCATTGATGGCTTTACAGAAATCTACAAGGTGTCTGACCGTTATTGGACTCCAAAATCCTTGTAGTGATGTCCACACTTTCCGGCTCTGACACAAACACTCCTTCAAAACGTTCCTTCTGGTGGCAGAAACAGAGATGTTTAAAACGACTCATTTGAGGAACATTGATCATTTAAGGGAGACACTAGACTGGATCTTACCACGAGAGGAGACGCCTGTGAGACGCCAAAGAGCAGCAGCAGAATGGAGAGGGAGGCTCTTGTGTCCATGTTGTCTCACTGTGTAGAGATGTTCAGGATGCTCCTGTGCTGAGCTTTGGTGTCTTTGTGCTGTCAGACCTGGACTTTATATTGTCCTGAGTAGGTGGGTCTACTGGGGGATTATGGGTAGGGTCTTAGTGTCCAGAGACTAATGTGTGTAACTACAGGGATGAAACCCTGACCTCACCTGTTAGTCCAAATCCTTGCAGAAACAAATACTACACTAATGTTCAAGTAATTTATTTATTGGTAACACTAAAGTGGAAATGCTGTAATGTTTGTGTTTTAGTGCGTGCAGCATACAAGGGGAGGCCCCAGAACTTTAAGCATTGAAAAACAAAACTGCTTCCATTTCAGTGGAACTGTATATTTTGTTCTCTAGTCCAGTTATTTTACTCAGTTGCTGTGATAATAATAATAAGTTATAATACATTTTATTTATATAGTGCCTTTCCAGTTCTCAAGCATGCTTTATAATATGCTTTATAATAAATGGACTAAATGTTTCTTTGGTCCTAACCGCATTGATAATTTGGTCCCTGCACCTAAAACCCATGTTAATTTTGATGGATCAATTCAGCAAATGTAAGAACCATTTCTGATTCTGTACATTTTTGTAGTAACAGGCAAGGTCAGAGTTTCCTCCCTGTAGTTACACACATTAGTCTCTAGACACTAAGACCCTACCCATAATTCCCCAGTAGACCAGACGCAAGAACCAATGCAGTTTGTGAGCAGGTTCTTCTTCTCCTTATATGCTGTAAAGTGCACTTTGCTACACTTAAACAAAACAAATGATTTGTCATGAACATCAGTTACGAACGGAACATGGCTGTATAAGTGAATATAACTTCATTTACGGTCTGTTTTTCACAATCACATGAATTCAGAAGACTTGGAATAATGCACACAAATCACAAATCAACTACTGTTATGTGCTTTTTGGAGCTTGACAGTCAGAATCACCACCCCTTGATTCTTGTGTTTCACGGAGGAAAATGTCATAACGTTTTGGAGAGACATGAGGGGGAGAAATTATGGTATTTTTATTTTTGGGCCAGCTATTCTGTTTATATAACTATAAGCATATTAGTAGTATCACTTACAATTCATTTACATTTGGGAACTTTTAAGAGCCCTATTTGTATACCTACATTTGTTGTTCTGTAGTTTCACAACACATTTACAGATGATAACAGCAGAATGTAATGCTACAAAAAGTGAATTCTCGTTTTATTTTCATTATTCATCATAAACAAACTAAAAGAAAAGAAAGTTTGAATGAAAAAAAAAACTTACAATAATGTTGGCTTTTGTTTCAGATTAATTTGTGTCAGCTGAAGTAATACATTTAACTTATATGTTTTTTTTTTCTTCATTATTTATCATTCATTACGACTCTCTCATAGCAGCTTTAGGCCAGTGAAGCAACCTTATTGTTGAGTCATGATGGGTTTCCTTTGAACTCAACTTTGAACAGTTGTTGTACTGAGACCCTTTACTAAATTGCAGTTAAGAACAAAGAAACATTTAGCCCAATTATTATGAAGCATCCCAACAACTGATTAAAGTATCCGGACTACATAACAAAATATACAGTTCAGCTGAAATGGAAGCAGATTTGTTTCTCAATGCTTTAGTATGCTACTGTTCTGGGGCACTAAGAAAACAAAAACTACAGCATGTCTACTTTAGTGTTAAAACCAATAAATAGAGTAAACTTAAGTGTATTGTCTGTTTCTGCAAGGAATTGGACTAACAGCTGGGGTCAGAGTTTCCTCCCTTTAGTTACACACATTAGTCTCTGGACACTAAGACCCTACCCATAAGCCCCTAGTAGACCCACCTACTCAGGAGAATATAAAGTCCAGGTTTGACAGCACAAAGACACCAAAGCTCAGCACAGGAGCATCCTGAACATCTCTACACACTGAGACAACATGGACACAAGAGCCTCCCTCTCCATTCTGCTGCTGCTGTTTGGCGTCTCACAGGCGTCTCCTCTCGTGGTAAGATCCGGTCTAGTGTCTCCCTTAAATAATCAACGTTCCTCAAATGAGTCGTTTTAAACATCTCTGTTTCTGCCACCAGGAGGAAAGTTTTGAAGGAGTGTTTGTGTCAGAGCCGGAAAGTGTGGACATCACTACAAGGATTTTGGAGTCCAATAATGGTCAGACGCCTTGTAGATTTCTGTAAAGCCATCAATGGGTCACATTTCTAAAAAGTGTTCAGAGTGTATAAATATATTGTGTTACATCATCAATGTGGTTCTCTTTAATACAGGATCTTCTGAAGTCTTGATTGAAGGAGATCTGGTGTTTCCCAAAACCAGAAATGCTCTCTACTGCTTAAACAACAACTGTTAGTAAACATAGTGGAGGTCGCTTACACAGTGAGCCATGAATTCTGTGAGTGAATCTCCTTCGTTCATTGAACATATCTATCATTCGTGTAGATCTCATTTTAAAGTTGTCTGCCTTTTTGTTTGCAGCCTATTATGACAGATCAGTGATTGCGAACGCCATGTCCTCCTTTCACTCCAAAACCTGCATCCGCTTTGTGGCCAGATCAACTCAGACCGACTACATCAGTATTGAGAACAAAGATGGGTGAGAACAATCATACAAAACCAAAAACATTTAACTGGCCTTAGTCCAAAACATTGAAAATAATTAACCCCTTTATTTCCTCTCTGCTCTCAGGTGCTTCTCTTCTCTTGGTAGAACTGGTGGCAAACAGGTGGTCTCCCTCAACAGGAACGGCTGTGTGTATCACGGCATCGTTCAGCATGAGCTCAATCATGCCCTGGGCTTCAACCACGAGCAAACCAGGAGCGATCGCGACAAGTACGTCAAGATCAACTGGGAGAACATCTCTCCTGATACGGCCTACAACTTCCAGAAACAAAACACCAACAACCAAAACACTCCATATGACTACAGCTCCGTCATGCACTATGGAAAAACAGCCTTCACCATCCATCCTGGCCTGGAAACCATTACTCCCATCCCTGATGAGACAGTGGAAATCGGACAGAGGCAGGGAATGTCCAACACTGACATCCTGAGGATCAACAAGCTGTATGGATGCTAAAGATGAGTTTTATATGTGGTGTGTCAGATAATTTAATATAGTTCACATTCCCGTAAATGAAGAATCGAATGAGGTGATGGTCTTTGTCTTTTGTTGGTGTTAAATTTTTATTAAAGTTAATAATAAAAAAAATTAACATCCAGTAAAATGTGTTTTTTCTCTTTAGAATGAAAAGTCTGATTTCATAAATTATCAGAAGACACGTTTCCTTAGCCTTTCTTCTGTCCTCTGACATAGATGGGGAGCAATGACATACGCTAGCATGAAACGGTGTGCGCTGATTCTCATAACAAAACAAAGCTTATTGCAGATACACATTTAAGCTCCAGGGCAGAGCAAATCATCTGTTACTCTTGGTCAACACCCAGATTTTCTTTTGTCACAAATAACAAGTATAACTGGATTCCACTAAATCACTTAGATTTATTTTCATTTTAAATGTATTATGACATTTAAAATGTAAATCTAGGAGTGACACATACTAAAATACACATACATCAACTTGTATTTGCCTGTAAAAAATTAAATAAAAAAGGCTTTCTCCTTATCTAAAATGTATAATTTACCCAGTCATCACTTATTTTGGTTCTTCCAAATCAAACACTTTATACAGAAGCAGTTCCCTCACTTTCCTAAAACGCACTGTTACGGGGCTGACGAGACGGGAGACGTGCGGATCCATATGCAAGCTTTATTGAAACGAAGACAGAGAAACTTGACTCGACTCGTGAAGATCAGCTGTGACTAGACTGAACTCAGGAATAACAGCTGTGGCTTGACTGAACTCAGGAATTTTGATGGAATCTGAGAGCTCTCTGACCCTCCATGAACAGTAACGCAACTGTAATGTTCCCAGGTCCAGAAACTTAGCAAGGACATCGGCAAAACAGTCCATGTGACATCAGTGGCTCAACTCCAATTTTGCGAAGCTACGAGAATACTTTTTGTGCACAAAGAAATAAAAAATAACAATTTGTTTAACAATTCTTCTTCCACCAGAACGTAATCAACGTATTCAACGTTGTTTACGTTCAGGAGGGTAAGCGCGCACATGAACGTAGTCGGCGTAATCAGCGTTGTTTACGCTTAGGGTAAAGCATGCGTATGCGTTGTGATACTCTCCATAATGGCGGAGGACAGTAACTCGGGGGAGAAGAATTTTTGAATAAAGTCGTATTTTTGTTTTCTTTGCGCACAAAAAGTATTCTCGTTGCTTCGCAAAATTGAAGTTGAGCCACCGATGTCACATGGACTGTTTTACCGATGTCCATGCTATGTTTCTGGGGAACATTACAGTTGTGTGCTGTCTACAGAGGGTCAGGGAGCTCTCAGATTCATTCAAACATATCTTAAATTGTGTTCCGAAGATGAACAAAGGTCTTACAGGTTTGGAACGACATGAGGGTGAGTAATTAATTACATAATTTTCATTTTTGGGTGAACTATCCCTTTAAAGAAACTGGGAGCACGACCTAGGAGTTACTATAACAGGATCTATGGCATAACATCTTGACCCAGGTACACTCCTGTTCTTTATGTGCTAGGCATGGTTTAATGCAGTGTAAAATACTATTCAGAGCTCACTTAACCAATGTCCACTTGGCAAGCTTTCACCTGCTGAAGAAGAGTTTTATGCAGACTACTTAATATAGTTCATGTGTCTGCAGGTGAATAATGTAATGAAGTGATGGTCTTTCTGAGGGTGTTGAATTTCTGAAATGTGTGAAGAAAAAGTTAATTAAACATTTAACAAAAGTGAACTTTTTTGTGAACTGCCTTTAAATCTAATAATTTATTCCCAGACACTGACAGCACAAAGTGAAATTAATGGATGAAGGAAGGAGTCTCCAAAGCAACATATGTATATATACAGTGGGTACGGAAAGTATTCAGACCCCCTTAAATTTTTCACTCTTTGTTATATTGCAGCCATTTGCTAAAATCATTTGTATATATAAACAATAGAGGAACCCACTGCATGTATGTGTTCTTTACGCATTCTTGTTTTTTAACCATGAAAGGCAAGGCAAGGCAAAGCCTGTAACATGTGATGTGAGTCAGTCAGTTGCTCATTCAGCTGATGGTCAGTAAACCAGGAGCATCTCCAGCAACAGAACACTGCGATCCTTCTCAACTCATCATGTCATCTCTATCTGTGAACAGTGAGCTTGTCTTCTACATTAATGGCAAGAAGGTATGTTTACATTACATTACATTATATATTGGTTGTAACTGAAGGCACAAACATTTAATTTGACAAATGTGTGTTTTTTTCTATTTTAAAATGGTACAGTCTTTCTGAATTGTCTTTTTCTTAATAGTTTTTTTTGGCTCATAATAGTATTAATATTCACTATGGCTTTAATATTGCTTTAGTTCATAAAAAAAAGTGTATAATATGAAATTAGTTTTCAACTGAATTTGTTAATATCATGAAAGAATGAAAGCTATGATTCAGATGGTATTATTATTACTCCTACTGAGGTGAGTATCAGAATGTTTAATGATCATATCTAGTCTTCTCACAATCAAAGTACATTACCAAACTTGAAATGGCGTGACTAAACATGCATTTCAGAATCGTGGCACATGACAGTCAGTGGGCTGCCAAACTATTTTTTTTCCTCTTATGTATGATGCCATGAAAATGATTTTCTACGCTTCAAACAGTCCATCATGTGTTTCTCCCTCTTATACACACACACACACTCTAACTATGACTGTGGTTTGTCTGTTCTAATATGTTTCTAGTTTCCACATTTCTCCCAGAATTCCACTCAAAACTAGTAATATGAAATAGAAAGTGACATCAATTCACTGGTGTGTATGTCTGTGATACATATGTTGGTCTCCAAAATCCAGTCGTGTCACGTGACACATACTGAATGATGTTTGGCTTGACAGTTATCACAAAATTTGAGCAATGATGGTCAGTTTATTTTTAGTTGTTGTTTTTATGTAAAGATTGTGGAGAAGAATGCTGATCCAGAAGAAATGTTATTGGCTTACCTGCGAAGGAAAGGTATGGTAATTTCCATATGACAAATATTCTCAAAATAATGGTGTATAATGGTAATATATTTATATTTACTTAAATATATTTAAGTTTTGCAGAGCCCCTAAAGAAAAAAAAATGAGGGGAGGAAAATATATATCTCAATGCTTTTGTGTTCTCTCGAAAAAGTTTAGCATTCCCCCGAGAGACCTTGCGTTTTGTGTTCACTAGCAACGCTTTTGCATTTGCGTCAAAAACAAAAGCACTGAATCATCATTTTCCTTCCATCTTATGTTTTTTGTCCCATCACCACGTCCCCTTAGAAGCTCTTTAACTTACATATCTTACAGGAAAGACAAATAATGAAAAAACAAAAAAAACTATGTGTGTTGTTTTTGTGTTCAGTAGGTCTGACGGGCACAAAGTATGGCTGTGGTGGAGGGGGATGTGGGGCCTGTACTGTGATGGTGTCCAGATACAACCCTATCCAGGACACTGTGCTGTATCTTTCACTCATATTACAAAACTAACAGCATAAAACCTTGGTATGAAACAAACAAATGAAAGGATTCTTTGCAACCAAGGTTTTTTCTACATCAAACCATACCGATGTCACTACATTTCTTCTGTTTTATGACCATTTACATGATAGACTTTTTAAATTAAAAAGTCATCAATAAATGTGATGTTTCATAATACTTAACCGGTTCTTCAGTCACTGGTCAGTGAATGCGTGTCTACAGCCGATTTGTTCTCTACACGGTGCAGCAGTGGTGACCATCGAAGGCATTGGAAGCACCAAGACTAAACTACATCCCGTTCAGGTACCTGATTCTCCTTCAGACACAAACTATAAATCAGCATTCAAAGTAGGTATTTTGAATGGGTAATCCAGAACAATCCATTTAGATATTTTTGTTGTTGTTTATCAGGAGCGTATAGCAAAGGCTCATGGGTCTCAGTGTGGGTTTTGTACTCCTGGGATGGTGATGTCCATGTACACATTACTTAGAAATAACCCACAGCCCACCATGGAGGACATTCGAGAGACACTGGGAGGTGACAAACAAATATGTATACTTATGGATTTAATTTACATTTTTAGAATTATGAATTCAAACGCAGAACACAAGAATTTAAACATTCTGTTTTCTTTCTTCTAAGGGAACCTGTGTCGTTGTACTGGATACCGACCGATAATTGATGGATTTAAAACATTCTGTGATGTAAGGACTGTTAACTCATAATACAAAATAAAAATGTCTACAAATCATTGAAAATTAGTACATGTAAAAAAAAATGTAAAAGAAAAAAAAACTATTGTGTAGTCTTTATTCTGTATTCTTCAGTTTGACTGCAGGAAACAAATATGTGTAGAGAAATTATCCATATTTTTCCAGACTCGGATATCTTGCCAAAATGGTGACGGAAATGGAAAATGTTGCATGGAAAACAGCAATTCTCACAACAATGAATCCGATGTAAGACAATAGTAGCCATATGAATCCTTACAATTTCCTATCCATGAGTTGCGTATCATTATACGTAGACAGAAATTGGTAAGTCTAGGTTAGTAACTCTGTTACTGGTATTATCGGTAGATTTCTGGAGAACTTTTCAGCATGGATGAAGTCTTACCCCTTGACCCAACTCAGGATCTGATCTTTCCCCCAGAGTTACTGGTAAGCAAACCGTGTGTTCTTGTGGTAGCTAATAAGAACGGATAATTCAGGCCACTAATTTTTGTTATATGCCTTCCTTTTTACAGATTATGCGAAAGCAAAAAGCTGAACAACTTTGTTTCCAAGGTGAAAAGGCCAGGTGGATTTCCCCAGCAGATCTGAAAGATTTAATCAAGCTGAAAGCTGAATACTCCAATGCACCTCTGTTGGTTGGGAACACAACCATAGGTTGGTTTCAAGAAGTTCATCCATACATCCATCCATCCATTCATTCAACCCGTTTCTGATCTTTTACAGGGCCAAAGATGAATCTGAAGGGAACCGTCCATCCTTTGGTGATCTATGGTGGAAGCATTCCAGAACTTCAAGCTGTCAAATGGAGAAACAATAGTAAATCATGAATAAACAATGTATCACCATTTCATATGCTTTTTTAGCGAATATTAAAGCCCAAAGTAAATTGAATAACACTGCTTTATTTAGGCGTAACTGTAGGGGCAGGATGCAGTTTGTCTGTTTTGAAGGACATCCTCCTGCGAGGAACTGAAGAACTCGGGCCAGAGAAAAGCAGGGTTTACCAGGCCCTCGTTCAAACATTACAGTGTTTGGCGGGCAAACAGATTCGCAACATGGCTGTGAGTAACAAAAACAAACTGCTGCAAGGAATTAAGAGGAACAGATGGACTGATGGAATATATCCACAAAAATAATATTAAATTGTTAAATTAACATTTCATGCGAGACCAAAACTAATTTTGATGACAAATTTGTGTTTTAATTACTTGTCTACGTTATGATTTTATGCTGGAAATTCAAGTCCATTGGTGGAAATATCCTGAGCGCCAACCCCAAATATGACTTGAGCAGCATTCTTGCAGCAGCGGAGTGTACACTACACATTGTTTCTAATGGTAATGCCAGTATATTTGGACTTTATTTGTACATCATTTCCTATAACCACTTGTTTGCAATATTTCTCAGTTCCCAATATATTTGACATGGAAAGTAATATGTGTTATATATTTAATATTTTATTTGTCCTTTTGTCTTAAATGCAGATGGTGCTCGAGAGATTTGTCTTAGTGAGGAGTTTTTCACAGGCTTTGGTAAAACGGCTCTACGACCAGATGAGATTCTGCTGGCTATTGACATTGCTCACTCAAGACCGGTACTTTCTTCAAAATGGAGGACACAGACTAAAGCTAATGCTAAAACTAAAGCCTATATTACAAAACTATTCAAGATTCAATAAACACACTTGCCCTAAAAGACTTGAAACGTGCCCCCCACAAATTCACTTTTATACTACAACTACAATATGAATTCAGCTTACATTCTGAAAAGCTAAATGTAAATCCCTGTGCTTTTCAGTGGGAGTTTGTTTCGGCATTTCGCCAGTCACAGCGCAGAGAGTTCGCCTTCTCCATAGTGAACGCTGGCATGAGGGTGGTGTTCAGACACAACTCAAATGTGGTGGAGAATCTGGATATTTTTTATGGCGGTGTGGGGCCAACTCTGGTAAAAGCCAGACACACCTGTAAAGAGCTGATGGGAAGGTACAGCCAAGGCCTACATAAATCACATACAACTTTTTTTTATGTGAGAGAACAGACACAGTTTGTACACATGCAGTTTTATTGCAAAGTGTGGTGCATTACCTGCTATTTTTTGTGTTGCTATATTGCATGCATCCCAGTCAGTGAGCACTGATTTTTGATTGACAGAAAATGGGATGAGAAACTTCTGGTAGAGGGAACACAGCTCTTAGAAGAAGAAATTTCTGTGCCCCCTACTGCACCCGGTGGACGGGAAGAGTATCGCAAGACTTTAGTACTCAGCTTCTTTTTCAAGTTTTACATGCAAGTGCTGCTGGAGCTCCAACAAAAAGTATGATTGTGCTAATCATTAGTTTAAAAGCAGGACAATTTACTTCATTCCTAATTAAATAGTTTTTTATCTTATCGTTAAAGGAGGTTGGCATGAATGATTTGCCATTAGAATATCTCAGCGCATTAAAACCCTTCAAAAATGAGGTGCCACAAGGAAACCACTCATTCCAGGTAGGCAGACCCCTAGTTACACAAAAACTAAATAAAGCTTGCATTTTTATATCAAGTGTGGTTAACAACTTCATCAACTAATCATTACCAATTAAATTACAGCTTGTACCAGAGACTCAGTCTTCTAGTGACCCGGTGGGACGTCCCAATGTACACCAGGCTGCCCTTCAGCAGGCGACAGGAGAAGCTGTGTATTATGATGACATCCCTTCTGTTAAAGGAGAACTGTTTGTTTCCATGGTAACCAGCACCAGGGCTCATGCAAAGATCATGTAAGTGGAATGTAATTCATTCAATATTTCACGAATAATAGATTTTAAAAAACTAAATGTTGATCAGTCTAATTCAGTTTATTTTTCCCAACCCAATTACACAAATTGAACACCAACACAAGACAAAGAATCAGCTCATTCCATTATTCATCTACAGACACATGATACAAATTTTAAAAAAAAGTCTCATCTTTAGCATCCATACAGCTTGTTGATCCTCAGGATGTGGTGTTGGACATTCCCTGTCTCTGTCCGATTTCTACCGTCCCATCAGGAATGGGAGTAATGGTTTCCAGGCCAGGATGGATGGTGAAGGCTGTTTTTCCATAGTGCATGACGGAGCCGTAGTCATATGGAGTGTTTGTTGTAGGCCGTATCAGGAGAGATGTTCTCCCAGTTGATCTTGACGTACTTATATCTTGATACTTTGCGGATATCACTGTTAATTTTGGCATGACTGTTAAGTTATGGCTACTAAATGACTTCAAACTCACACTTCTAAAAACGATTTTGATTAAGAAATACGATTTTGAGTAAGAAATATGAGGCTCATGTTTCATCTTGAAGTTTTATTAGCTTTATTTATCCCACAAGTTTTGGAAATTCAAAATCATAAAAGACAAAGACCATTACCTCATTAAATTATTAATCTGTGGATAGGTGAACCATATTAAATTATCTTAAACCACACATCCATACAGCTTGTTGATCCTCAGGATGTCGAGTTTAGACAAATCCTGCCTCTGTCCGATTGCTACTGTCGCATCAGGAATGGGAGTGATAGTTTCCTTCCCAGCCTGGGTGGTGAAGGCTATTTTTCCATAGTGCATGATGGAGCCGTAGTCATATGTGGTGTTTTGATTGTTGGTGTTCCGTATTTGGAAGTTGCTGGCCTTCTCAGTTGGGATGTACTCCCAATTGATCTTAACATACTGGTCGCGATCACTCCTGGTATGCTCGTGGTAGAAGCCCAGAGCATGATTGAGCTCATGCTGAATGATTCCATGATACACACAACCGGTCCTTTTGAAGGAGACCAGCTGTTTGCCACCAATTCTACCAAGATAGGAGTAGCAGCTAAGAAAAAAGAGAAAAAGAGAATATTCCACAAATCTTTGTTAAAATGTTACACTTTGTGAAAGAGTTTCTGCTAAAGACCAATGAAATGTTTCTTCCTCACCCATCTTTGTTCTCAATACTGATGTAGTCAGTCTGATTTGATCTGGGTATGAAGCGAATACAAGTCTTGTTGTGAAAGGTAGACATGGCATTCTGTATTACTGAGATGTCAGTAGAGGCTGCAAACAAAAAGTATCACATGTTTTAAAATACGATTTACACGCATAGACATATTTTCAATGACTGAAGGTGATTCACTTACAGTATTCACTGCTCACTATGTAAGGGACTTCCACTAGGTTGCTAGAGTTTCTCTTCCAGAAACAGTTGTTGTTTAAGCAGTAGAGAGCATTTTTAGTTTTGGGAAACACCAGATCTCCTTCAATCAGGTGTTCGGCAGATCCTGTAATTAAAGAAACATATTTTGATGAAAGGAATATGTGTACGTTCAACCACATTTTAGATATATTCCCTGATTTTGTGAAACCCTTTAAAGGAATCTGCAAGATGCCTGACCCTTGTTGGTCTCCAAAAACTTTGTAGTGATGTCCACATTTCCAGGTATGGGTAGGAATGCATTAGGAGGGCCAGGCTTCTAATTATGAAAAAAAAAGGAAAAGTTATATTATTCTTACAATGAAAGTTCATCATCCCAGTGTATTGAGAGACTAGTCTAGAGTCTTACCCTGACAGGATTCGCCAAGGAGATGCCAACCAACAGCACCAGAATGGAGAGGGAGGCTCTTGGGTCCATGTTGTCTCCGTGTGTAGAGATGTTCAGGATGCTGCTGTGCTGAAATCTGGTGTCTGCAAGCTGTTGAATCAGAACTTTATATTCACCTATATAGGTGGGTCAACCAGGCGTTGAGACTCTGATTGTAAAGGAAGGAGTGTCTGAACTCACCTGTTAATCCAAGAACTTGCACTACCAGAGACGGCACAGATTGTTTTACTAATCCACTGAAATTAACAAATGTAATTTTTTAATTGCATGATAAGACCCAAAACTGTGGTAAACAGGGAGTGCAGTCAAAACTTTAAGTGCTTTCTCAAGACAGTACAAAAAAAAATGCATCTGTCATGTGTGTCGTCATGAATTGGGGAGTAGAGGTCATAGTCCAGCTCATAATGATTTAGTATTTAGAACCAACTAACTGTACTCCTTTATTATATTCCTTTATTCCTATATTCCTTTAGTCCTAACCACTTTAATATGTATTTTCCAAGCAAAGGGTACAGTAGCTAATTTCTTGGCAAATATTCACAATAGAATCCAAGTTACTTTTGCAAAAAAGTAACATTTATAACTTTCCTTTTTTTTTTTTTTTTTTTTTTTATAAAATTTTTTTTTTTTTTTTTTTGTGTGTATATATATATATATATATATATATATATATATATATATATATATATATATGACAACAAGGTAAACAATAAGATATTGTCCATTATTAATCCCTTCCATGATCCCCCCATTCATATTCACTCAGATGGACAGAGAAACAATGATAAAAACCCCATCAATAAATGAATAATAGCAAGTAAAACAAAATAGATATACAGTAAGTAACTAATAAATACATTTAAAAAAGTCCCTTCTAACAGATGACAAATATTACATGTTGCCAGTTGCAGGCGCACAAGGTAGACCTTTAATATTTTCCAAAAAGGGATCCCGAGTCTTATAAAAGGTTTAATTAAGCCAGAGAGTGAACATCTTAACTTTTCAAGTCTTAAACAGTAGAAAATATCCTGTATCCATCTGCCATGTGTCGGGGGTGAAGTGTGCTTCCACTTAAAGGGATACTCCACCCCAAAATGAAAACAAGGAGGCTTGTGACTGTCTGATTGACTGCCAAGTAAATTACACTGTCAAGGTCCAGAAAAGTATGGAAGGCATCGTCAGAATAGTCCAGCTGCCATCAGTGGTTCAACCATAACGTTATGAAGCGACGAGAATACTTTTTGTACGTAAAGAAAACAAAAATAATAACTTTATTCAACAATTTGTCTCCTCTGTCTCTCCGCATCACTGTAGCGCCATTTTGGAGAATAACCACTGAACGCAAGCAGACTTTTCTGGACCTTGACAGTCTAGTTTACTTGGTAGTCAATTGTAATGAAGCGACGAGAATACTTTTTGTACGTAAAGAAAACAAAAATAATAACTTTATTCAACAATTTGTCTCCTCTGTCTCTCCGCATCACTGTAGCGCCATTTTGGAGAATAACCACTGAACGCAAGCAGCTCTCTGTGTCAGCCGCAAAACAAGGAGACGTTTTCTACGTGTATTTACGCTTTGATTTGAACGAAAAAAGCGCATCCGTGCAGAGCGGCTGACACAGAAGAGCGTACGCTGATTGCGTTCGTAAAAGTAAAAGTATTCTCGTCGCTTCATAACGTTACGGTTGAACCACTGATGGCAGATGGACTATTCTGACGATGTCTTTCATACTTTTCTGGGCCTTGACAGTGTAATTTACTTGGCAGTCAATCGGACAGTCACAAGCCTCCCGGTTTTCATCCAAAATATCTTAAATTGTGTTCCGAACACGAACAAAGCTTTTACGGGTTTGGAACGATATGGGGGTAAGTGATTAATGACAAAATTTTCCTTTTGGGGTGGAGCTCATCTGGCCAAGATCATAGTAAAAACAACAACTTCAGACCAGGTCTAAGGGATACCTCAAAAAGGGCTAACAAGGGATCAGGGTCTATATTAGTGTTGAGAGCTTTTTTAAGTGTATCATATACACTTAACCAGAAAGTTGCCATCTGTGGACACATCCAAAACATATGCAGATGATCAGCAGGCGAAAGCTTGCAGTGGTTACAGGCAGCGCTCCTGTCTGGAAAAAAATTTGCCATTTGGGCATTGGTGAAGTGAGCTCTGAATAGTATTTTACACTGCATTAAACCATGCCTAGCACATAAAGAACAGGAGTGTACCTGGGTCAAGATGTTATGCCATAGATCCTCTGTTATAGTAACTCCTAGGTTGTGCTCCCAGGTATCTTTAAGAGTGTCAGTAGGGTCCACATTAATTGAATTTATTAAATTATAAATGACGGAGATCAGATGCTTATGGTTGATATTCAAATCAAGAAAATGGTCAATGTGCATTTCAGGAAGATGTTTAAGAAAGTGAGGGAACTGCTTCTGTATAAAGTGTTTGATTTGGAAGAACCAAAATAAGTGATGACTGGGTAAATTATACATTTTAGATAAGAAGGAGAAAGCCTTTTTTTTTTTTTTTGAGGCAAATACAAGTTGATGTAGTATGCGTGAGTATGATGTGTATTTTAGTGTGTCATGCTCAGCCCACTCCGAGACTTACATTTTAAAAACTTCATAATGCATTTAAAAAGAAAATAAATCTAAGTGATTTAGTGGAATCCAGTTGTACTTGTTATTTGTGACAAAAAAAAGAAAAGAAAATCTGGGTGTTGACCAAGAGTAACGGATGATTTGCTCTGCCCTGGAGCTTAAATGTGTATCTGCAATAAGCTTTGTTTTGTTATGAGAATCAGGGCACACCGTTTCATGCTAGCGTATGTCATTGCTCCCCATCTATGTCAGAGGACAGAAGAAAGGCTAAGGAAACGTGTCTTCTGATAATTTGTGAAATCAGACATTTCATTTTAAAGAGAAAAAAAACATAATTTTTACTGCGTTAATTTTTTTTATTAACTTGATTTTTCCTTAGCCACATATTACAGAAATTTAACACCAACAAAAGATCATCACCTCATTTGATTCTTAATTTACGGGAATGTGAACCACATTAAATTATCTGACACACCACATACATATAAAACTCATCTTTAGCATCCATACAGCTTGTTGATCCTCAGGATGTCGGTGTTGGACATTCCCTGCCTCTGTCCGATTTCCACTGTCTCATCAGGAATGGGAGTGATGGTTTCCAGGCCAGGTTGGATGGTGAAGGCTGTTTTTCCATAGTGCATGACGGAGCTGTAGTCATATGGAGTGTTTTGGTTGTTGGTGTTTTGTTTCTGGAAGTTGTAGGCCGTATCAGGAGAGATGTTCTCCCAGTTGATCTTGACATACTTGTCGCGATCGCTCCTGGTTTGCTCGTGGTTGAAGCCCAGGGCATGATTGAGCTCATGCTGAACGATGCCGTGATACACACAGCCGTTCCTGTTGAGGGAGACCACCTGTTTGCCACCAGTTCTACCAAGAGAAGAGAAGCACCTGAGAGCAGAGAGGAAATAAAGGGGTTAAATATATAAACAAATTTTGGACTTTGGACAAAGGCCTTATGAATGTTTCTTGTTAATATTGTATGATTGTTCTCACCCATCTTTGTTCTCAATACTGATGTAGTCGGTCTGAGTTGATCTGGCCACAAAGCGAATGCAGGTTTTGGAGCGAAAGGTGGACATGGCGTTCGCAATCACTGATTTCTCATAAGAAGCTGCAAACAAAAGGGGCCACAGCTTTACAATTTGATTTACATGAATGATAGATATGTTCAATGAATGAAGGAGATTCACTCACAGAATTCACTGCTCACTGTGTAAGGGACCTCCACTATGTTGTAGAGTTTTTCTTCCAGAAACAGTTGTTGTTTAAGCAGTAGAGCGCATTTCTGGTTTTGGGAAACACCAGATCTCCTTCAATCAAGACTTCAGAAGATCCTGTATTTAAAGAGAAACATACTGATTAAATAACTGAAAATATTTGTAAGCCTTGTTAACATTTTTCCACTATTTTGTGAAACCCATTGATGGCTTTATATAAATCTACAAGGTATCTGACCATTGTTGGACTCCAAAATCCTTGTAGTGATGTCCACACTTTCCGGCTCTGACACAAACACTCCTTCAAAGCTTTCCTCCTGGTGGCAGAAACAGAGATGTTTAAAATGACTCATTTGAGAAACGTTGATAATTTAAGGGAGACACTAGACCGGATCTTGCAATGAGAGGAGATGCCTATGAGACGCCAAACAGCAGCAGCAGAATGGAGAGGGAGGCTCTTGTGTCCATGTTGTCTCAGTGTGTAGAGATGTTCAGGATGCACCCGTGCTTTGGTGTCTTTGTGCTGTCAGACCTGGACTTTATATTCACCCGAGTAGGTGGGTCTACTAGTGGATTATGGGTAGGGTATTAGTGTCCAGAGACTAATGTGTGTAACTAAAGGGAGTACACACTCTATTAAGTACTAAGCCTTGCAGAATGATGGGAGGTACCCCAGCTTGTTTAAATAATTCATCCATTAAGTGTATGGGCTGGACAATTTTTAATTTATTTGAAAATCTAAATCACATTGTCTCAACCTTGTCTTCACATCAGCTTTATAGATGCATCAGTGGCTCTAGCCATGTCTGGAGTGATCACCTTCATCTCTGCCAAGGATGTTCCTGGTCAGAATCGAAGACTCTGGTTCAACAACCCAGAGGAGCTTTTTGCAGAAGAGGAGGTACCACAATAAATATTCTCTGGTTTAAAGATACAAAATGAATCCTACCTCAGATTAGATGTTTCAAGCCTTATTATATCTATCAGTAGATGTTACTTCTTCTTAGTCAATAATGCTTCTTTTTCATTTCAGGTAGATTGTAATGGTGTCTTGTCTGTTTGCCCTTTGCAGGTCATTTGTGTAGGGCAGATTATCGGCGCCATTGTGGCTGAAACCAGAGAACAAGCCAAACGAGCAGCCGAGCAGGTGGCCATAACTTACCAGGACATCCAACCTGCCTTTTTCACTATAGAGGTATTTGTGAACAAAATCATATTCAGAAAAAAAAAAATCATAATGGAGTACTAAACAAAAGTTGAGGAGCAGCACGTTCATCTAATCCTACTAATCGCCACACCATCTTTATTATGAAGGAGGCCATTGAACACCAGTCATTTTTTGACCCAAAGAGAAAACTGGAAAGAGGAAATGTGGAAGAAGGCTTTGAAAAAGCAGACCACATACTGGAGGGTTTGTTCAATTAAATCTGAATCTCATTGGGATCTCTCCATATAGAGTCCTTTTTTGAACTGTTCTTTGACTTTTTTATATATATTTGTTTTATACAATGCACATTCTAATTATTTTATATTTCTCACAGATGAGCTGTATATGGGTGGTCAAGAACACTTCTACATGGAAACGCAGGGATTGATTGCAATTCCTAAGGCAGAGGCAGGTGAAATGGAGCTCTATGTTGCCAGTCAGCATGCAGCTTATACTCAGGTCTGTATTGCCCCATGGACATAAACGGATGGATATTATTCAATATAAAGATATTTATTTTTTATTAATGTAAATCTGAATTTTAAAAAAAGAAAGAAAAAAAAGAATGTGAGAATTAAAAAATGTTATTCACATACTCTTCCTCAATTTTTGACCTAATGTCCTCTTTTGAACAACAGGAAGTGGTGGGCATCACTCTTGGCATTGATTCCAATAAGATCACATGTCATGTGAAGAGGCTGGGAGGTGGATTTGGTGGCAAAGTCATGAAGATTGCATCATTATCTGCCATCGCTGCTACAGCCGCTTACAAGTATGGCAAAATGAGACTTGTACCTTTTACAGAATGGCACTTATTTAACTGCTTTTGTATTTGCCCTTATTGCATATATTTAAATGCATTGTTTTCTTATTTCTGTGAAGTGCAAAGAAAGTATGCTATGCCTTTAACGCAATACTAAAAGATAATGCTAAGTACATTCAAATTTAACTACAGGACTGACCGTGCTGTACGATGTGTACTAGAACGTGGAGATGACATGTTAATCACCAGTGGCAGGTCCCCTTTCTTGGGAAAGTACAAGGTAATGTTTCACTATTGGTAACAGTATGTTGACTGGATAACTGTGAAGCATCGCAACAGCTTAAATCCTGCCTTTTTCCTACAGGTTGGATACATGAATGATGGAACAATCCTGGCTGCTGATATCACGTACTACAGTAATGGAGGATGCACTCTGGATGAATCCTCCTTTGTATGTTGGTTTTTAAGACTTAAGAAAAACTTATTTTTTTTACCTTTTGAAATGGCCAATCCCTTTATGAAATGTTGAAAATCAATTAAGTAAATCCTGATAATAAGGAACTGTAAGCTAGGTTACCTTAAATTCCCATGTAGGTCAGTCTCCAAGTCACGTATCTTCTGTAATTTACTACCAGATCATGGAGAAAGCTCTCCTTCACATGGATAATGGCTACAAGATCCCAAATCTACGTGGACATGGACTGGTGTGCAAGACCAACTTACCCTCATATACAGCCTTCCGTGGATTTGGTGGACCTCAAGGGTTGACGATCATTGAGGGCGTGCTACATGAGGTGGCCGCCAGATGTGGTTTACCTGCACATCAGGTGGGATTAAAGACAAGTTGATTAAACAGAATTCAAACAGTCGTAATGGGTTGAAATTTGAACTGGTAACCAAAAGACTGTATGTTAAAAACCCTACAACTGTTGGTTCATGATGTTGAGTTGTTAAGGTAACTTTTGATGTGTCGGATCATGATAATATTGTTGGGGTTTTCATTTCGACTCTAAAAATACAATCCAAAAAATTCAAATATTTCTTTCTGTACAGGTGAGAGACATCAACATGTACAAGGATGAGAAATGCTACACCCACCACAAGCAGCTCTTTTCTCCTCGTGACATGGTTCGGTGCTGGAATGAGTGTCTCGAGAAATCTGACTACACCCATCGATGTCTGTCTATCGAGCAGTTTAATGCCCACAACCACTGGAAGAAGAGAGGGATCTCCATTGTCCCACTAAAGTTTGGAATTGGATTCTCCAAGGGCTTCTATAACCAGGTGGGTTAAAACTTGTGAGACTGTACATAAAATGTTGCAGTTTGGTTCACACGATCACTTTAAAGCTTTTCACTGTGTATTAGTCAATACTACTACAAAAAAATATCCAATATTGGATTCTCTTCAGGGAGCAGCATTGGTAAACATCTACAAAGATGGATCGGTTCTGATCTCACATGGAGGAACCGAGATGGGTCAAGGTATCAACACCAAAGCCATACAGGTGCGATGAGTCTCAGTGTTGAACAATGGATCCAAATACAATTATTACATGAAATATGCCACTTGCAAGATAATGTCAACCTTCACGTTCAAATTGCAGATTGCAAGTCGCATTCTGAAGGTTCCAATGTCTTCGATCCACATCAAGGAAACCTGCACAGGAAACGTGCCCAATGCTGCACCATCCGCTGCATCCTTTGGCACGGATGCTGTCGGGATGTCAGTCAAGGTATAGAGACAATCACTGATTTATAACATTTACACAAGTGTCTTTTTCATGACTGAAATTGTACTATTTTGCACATAGAATGGTTGTGAGAAACTAATGAGACGTCTGGAGCCACTCATTAAGAAACATCCCCAATACACCTGGCAACAACTGGTTAGTAAGAGTGACATTCATACTCAACTACATAATTCAAACTGAATTAAAGATGGATGGCCAAACGAGAATCACTTAACTGCTGTTATGTTTCCAGGTTGTGGAAGCATATTGCCAGAAGATCAGTCTGTCAGCAACTGGTTTCTTTATGTATGTGTTTGACCTTGTAATAGCATAAAGCAAAATGCAGAGTTGTCTGTGATGAGATACTGTTAAGAGTTGAATGAATGTGTCTTACTAATAAATAAATACACAATTAAATAGACAATTTGCTTATACCAGGGGCCCCCATACCAGTGTTGACTGGGAAAAGAGCGAGGGCAACGCATACTACTACTTTACTTTCGGGGCCTGTTGCTCAGAGGTGGAAATTGACTGCTTGACAGGAGATCACAAGGTTCTTGTTTTCTTTTAATCATCTATATATTCATACATTTTAATAAGATTTGGCTATGCAACATACGTGTGAAATTGGTAAAGATTTATGAGCAGTTATTGCCGTGTCAGTGGCCAGGATTCATAAAGTTGCAATTTTTCAGGTTGTGTGCGCACATTCACAATTTGAATATTAAAATGTTGTGGACTGTGAAATTCTATTTGACAGAACATTAGAACCGACATTGTGATGGATGTTGGTCGGAGCATAAACCCTGCTCTGGATGTTGGACAGGTATGGAAGATATTTTGTTATTATACTTCAGATGCAAACAATTAGGGTGTAAATCAGTGACCATACACTACAGTAAATAAATGTGTGTGCATTTACAGGTGGAGGGTGGTTTTGTCCAGGGAATTGGGCTCTATACTATAGAGGAGTTGCAGTTTTCTCCTGAGGGTGTGTTGTTGACCAGGGGTCCCTCTCAGTATAAAATCCCAGCTCTGTGTGACGTCCCTCCTCAGCTTAATGTCCATCTGCTGAGGAACGCAGACAATCCTCATGCCATCTACTCCTCAAAGGTAAGACAAAAAACCCTGAATGCCAACACAGCAAGTTGAAATAAAATCAAAGCTGTTTAAGTAAAAAATAAATAGCAAATAACTAGTAATATTTACCTTTCAGTGATAATTGCAGACATAACAATCACCAAAAGTTACGTCTAGGCTTCTATTATTGCAAACCTCTTCAGGTCAGGCCGGTTCACGCCAGACTTCAATCGTTTGAGCACATTAAATTACATTTGCAACCTCTTTTACTTCAGTAATCCGACATTCTGAACAAAACAAGATATTTATGCATAGAGTAATTTTAATTTCGGATGAAATATTGGTTATAAAGGTATTCTTTGTTTTTTTTAGGGGATCGGTGAGCCTCCTGTGTTTTTCGGCTGCACTTTGTTCTTTGCCATTAAAGAAGCGATAGCAGCCGCACGGCGAGAGAGAGGCCTGAGCGACAGTTTCCCTTTCTCTTCTCCTGCTACTGCGGAAAAGATACGTATGGCCTGTGAAGACTGCTTTACAAGGATGGTGGGTGAACAGTGTTAATACAGTAAATTCATATTCTTAATTATAACAAAAAAATATGTTTTTATTTAATATATTATAATACCACTATAATCTAATACATTTAATAGATTAAAATATTTTATTTGTTATATTATTATACATTATTCCAGGTTTATCGGTTTTGGCTCCTAAAAAGGGATTTACAAGTTTATAATTTAAATATCACTCTTTCTTACAGAATCCACTGGATAGGAAAGTAAAAACCAAACCCTGGACCATCAATGTGTGAAGAAAAACATCAGATTATTCAAACTCTGTAATGCCTCACTTAAACAACCTGTCGCTTCCTTTTCATTGAGACTTTGAGCTCATAAACTAGCTATCAGCTCAAACTCTTAACCTCAATTTACATGTCGGGGACTTCTACCTTCTTTCATATTTTTATTATGCAGTTAGTGTTTTATAAAAGCAATAAGGAACTTGCTTAGTCAATTGTAGGATGTAGATTAATTCACATTTATTATAATAGCTGTTAAAGCAAAGCCTAAATGTCAAGTAAACTGATTTATGTGAGATGAAATTAAGATGTGTTAATAATAAGCGTGAATAACTATAAATTGTTCTTGATACATGATTGCATGCAGAGCTTCTTTTGTTTGTTTTTTTAGTAGATTACTTATCGTTCAGTAAACAATAATAATAATTGGATGTTAAATCAGGTCTTGTGTCTACATAAATATAATAAATGTTGTGTGATTTGACAAGAGCAACTCAATAGCTTTAAATCAGAATAATGTTTTCATATGTTCAGAGCCCACGGCTGAGCCGGTCCAGAAGTTGATCCACTTTGTGCAACCTAACGAAAACAAAATTATATTAATATATTTCAATTATGACAATCAAATAATAAGGATTAAATGATTTTTTACCACATTTATATTTATTAAGTATTTGTTTAATCTAGATTTGGACTCAAAAAATCACAAATGGGTTAATGTAACTCGCGTACCATCTTTGTGAAGTGTGTGGCACAGGCCAGACATGCCCGCTCTGGGGTGGCAGGGCTGTTCAGCTGGAAGGGGCCGGTTAAATCTGCATCTTTTCGAGCTGCAGTCACAGCGTCTTTAATAGCGAAGAATACACAACTGCCCAGAAAAACAGTCGGCTCTCCGATTCCCTAAAACACGAGGATGAGAATGCTTTAGTTTGCAGTGATTTTACCTCTACAGCAGATCTGGAAAAACACTAAACAATGGTACGAATAATCATAACTAGGGTGCAGTATTAGGTTTGAATGCAATTAGATGTAAAGTAAACCACAAGGATTCCACAAAATCAAAATAAATGGACTCAGAAGCAGATATCCATAATAAGGAGATGAGTGAATCACCTTCGATGAATAGATGGCGTGAGGGTTGGATGAGCCGGCTAAAAGGTAGATGTTAAACTTCAGAGGGACATCACAGAAGGACGGGATCTTGTACTGGCCTGGTCCACGTGTGTACAGAACACCAGACGGAGAAAACTTGAGCTCCTCCATGGTGTAGAGACCCAGACCCTGCATGAATGCTCCCTCAATCTAACACATAGACATACTTATTATATGAGTAAATGCATATATATGCAAGTAGTCTCTCATCCTCACCGAGGCTGCATTTATTTGAACAAAAATACAGTAAATGCTGTAATATTGCAAAATATTACTACAATTTAAATAAACTGTTTTCCATTTGAATAAATAAATGGACTCAGAAGCAGATATCCATAATAAGGAGAAGATGAGTGAATCACCTTCGATGAATAGATGGCGTGAGGGTTGGATGAGCCGGCTAAAAGGTAGATGTTAAACTTCAGAGGGACATCACAGAAGGACGGGATCTTGTACTGGCCTGGTCCACGTGTGTACAGAACACCAGACGGAGAAAACTTGAGCTCCTCCATGGTGTAGAGACCCAGACCCTGCATGAATGCTCCCTCAATCTAACACATAGACATACTTATTATATGAGTAAATGCATATATATGCAAGTAGTCTCTCATCCTCACCGAGGCTGCATTTATTTGAACAAAAATACAGTAAATGCTGTAATATTGCAAAATATTACTACAATTTAAATAAACTGTTTTCCATTTGAATGTTTTAAAATGTTTTTTTCCCTGTGACAGCAAAAGCAGAATTTTCAGCAGCCATTACTTGAGTCACATGATCCTTCAGAAATCATTCTAATATGATTAGGTGCTCAAGAAACAGTTCTTATTGTTATCAATGTTGAAAACATCTTAATATTTTTTTGTGGAAAACAAAATAAATTGTAAGCAATTTTCTAAGGTAGTGTATATGGGTCAATAACCCATATGTATAATAATATAATATAATATAATATAATATAAATATAAATAGCCCAGATGTATAATATAATACATGAAACAATAATAAAATGCTAAACAAAATTATTATAATGTTTACATTTAATAAAATTGATGACAATTATGAACAAAAGATATTACAATTATTAAAAATACATATATTTTGCTCAAAATTTACTCTAAGCTAACACTTCCGTTACAGGGCAATGGTGATTAATAAAAATAAATATTGGCTAATAATCAGACATATTTATTAATCACTGGTGTATAGATTATATATTTTGCTATTAAATAAAAATGTATTTCTATTAAGAGAGGAAACATCGTAGAGATCATCTTACCTGACCAATGTCAATGGACGGATTTATACTTCTGCCGATATCAACAACAATATCAGTCTTCAAGGTCTATGAGGAAAAGATATAGTATGGCAGATGAGTTTTACAGTGACTAGACAAATAGCAGAAAATGTACATACCACAAATCTTCTGCATCATATCTGTATTTACCCTGTACTCTCCAGTTAAACAGTCCAGCTCAACCTCACTGCAGCCCACAGCATACGTGAAGTAAGCATACGGCTTGCCTTCCTGCTTCTCCCAGTCCATGCCTAGATCGTGACCTCTGAAAACAGACAAAACTCTCACTAAGCATAAAACAAAACCTCCATGTTTTGTCTAGTTTTAAGCCTGTGTTTGCTTCTTTGATGATGCACTGAAGATCACACTGTTGACAAACAGCTACCACTTTAATGTCTCAAAGTACAGTTAAAAAACAAAAATGTTCCTTTTAAATGAAATTTGGGTGATTTACCTGTAGTATCCTGTGGCTGACAGACTGATCTTCTCCAAAAATGCTGTTGTTATCTTTAAAGACATAAAAAAATAAATACAAAAATAAAATACATTAAATGTATCAAAAATAAAATATCTAAAAAAATATAATATATATTGCATTTAATTAAATAATAATAATAATTAAACATGGTCTGTAACACATGGCTTTGAGTAACTTATTGCTTTTGTATAAAAGGAGCAATAGTAATATAATAAAAAACACCAACATTTATTAATAAATAGATAAACAATTATAAACAAATATTAAATGTGTAAATAATAAATTACAATCAAATTGAATCTTCCACCAAATAATATAGTTCATTTACCTAACTGTAGATGATATTAATATATAATTATTAATACAAATCAAATAATGTGCAACTATTTCAGAACTGTACTGAACGTGGCCGATTCTATCAGATTATTATTCTTTTTTGAATATTTTATTTAAAGCTTTTCACATTTTAGAGAACAATCTCCCCAACCCAGCAAATTGAAGAAAAAAAAAAATCTACTAATGTATTGATACATATATGCATATAAATATATATACACCCACAAAGTGTACATATACACCTCCATAAACATAAATCGTTCATACTTGTGTACCTATACAAAAACACATATAGACATCTCTACATATACAGAATCATTAAACAAATAAACAATAATAATTCTTTCCAATACCAATAAATACCCAATTATGGAAAAATAAAATTGTTACGCACTGCTATATTTGATCAAATTAACCACACCACTTAAAGAAGGTGGTTCAATTCAGTTATCATTGGTCACCTTCCAGATATTCAAAGAAGGACTTCCAAATCTGTAAGAATCTCTTTGGTTTACCCGCAATCTCATATCTAATCTTTTCCATATGTAACACATTACTGAAGTCACGTCTCAAATTTAGATACAAACTCTGACGCTCCACATCAACAAAATTTTCTTTTTTGCTATGGTCATCCCATATTGAACTGTCTGGATTTGATTGAAACTATAGTTCTCCATATTATTGTAATATCGCAATGAGAGGGTCATGAGGAAAATCCATCTTAAATATTTTTGAATAGAAACAAAACACCTCAGTCCAAAATTTACACTTTTTTGGGCAAAACCAAAATAAATGAGCCAATACCCTCATTGGACTTGCATTTGATACACAGAGGTGACATAGAGGGTTATATAGAATGTAATTTGGTGCGAGAGTAGTGCAAATTGCAATCTATGGACAACTTTATACTGAATCAACTAAAGACCTAATACATTGGCGGCAGGGCCGCATTAACCATTGGGCAAGGCGGGGCTGAAGCCCCGGGGCCCGGGCAAGGAGGGGGCCCGTGATTGGCTGTGGGGTATTTTGACCGATTGCCAAAGCCCCGTCCCTCACATATTAGCACTATTATTTAGTGGAGCTTTTCCATATATTCCATGCATTACCCTTAGAGATTACAACATAACGTTTGCATTTTGTTTACCAATCAAATGCATTCATTCTATAGTTTTACTTTTGAACGACCCGTGCACCACGTATCAATCAGGTGATCGCTGCAATGTCCGCATTCACCTCTCTTCACTTCGTTCTGGCATAATCTGGAAATGGTCATGCAAAGAACAATCTTCGATAAGTAAAAATGTAAACTATTCTAAAAGAAAGTGGGAGAGGGGCTATTCTAAAAAAAAATGAGGAGAGAGGGGAAAACATGAGTTAGATAGTCAGTAAAATTCCTAGCTATCAGGTTATTTTACTAAAGCTGATGATGGAGTAGTAGTGAAACAGCAAGTGGACCGGGCACATGGAGCAGATAAAATCACAGCGTCATCGTCCCCACAGATTTTAGGTTAGTTTGATTAACAAGTAAACAACTTGATGGATGTATATTGCTTTTTGTGTTTGAACAAAGTATATTCGCCTATGGGTTGAGAGATAAACCAGTAGAAATATAGCCAATCAATCGTTTTGCGCGGCATGATGTAGGTTAAGCTTTTAATTTAAAAGCATTTTAAGCATTGTGGTTTAAAAACAAATGTAACTTTTCAGGGACATTAAGCAGTGGAGCAGAATTCACTTTGACAAATGCACGTACATCTGCTCGTACAGTGCCAGTCTAAACTTGAGTTATTTTTCGCGCCTTGTGCTTAAACGTGGAGCAGAATTCACTTTGGCAAATGCGCGTACATCTGCTCGTACAGTGCCAGTCTAAACTTGAGTTATTTTTCGCGTCTTGTGCTTAAACATTCAAATGCAGTTATGTGTCAAAATGTCTCCTCGTCAACACTGTTATTTGTGTCTTAAACGAACGATAATAGTTAAATATAAATCATGTGTAGTAGTAGGCTATATGAGATCTTAATATTATGAGATTTTAAAGGGATAGTTCACCCAAAAATGAAAATACTGTTATCATTTACTCAGCCTCAAGTTGTTCTAAACCTGTATGAATTTCTTTGTTCTCCTCAACATAAAAGAAGATATTTTGAAGAATGTTCGTAACTAGAAAATTTTTGTTCCCCCGTGACTCCAGTAGTGTATTTTGTTTTTCATACTATGGAAGTCATGGGGGCCCAGCAACTGTTGGGTTACCAGTATTGTTCCAAATACATGAAGAGTTTATTTGCAAAGACAGATAACTCAGTTTATTAAAATTTTCAAAAATGATGTTTTTTATTATGTTATCATGTTTTTGTGTTAGTTAACTGTATTTTTTTTTTTTTACTTAATCAAAATAACCCAACTGCAGTTTGATCGAGAATAATTGGAATGCACAACGAAAAAACATCATTTTTGAAAATTGTTAAAAATTTAGTTATCTGTTTTTGCAAATGAACTCTTCATATACTTTTACATTCAACAGCAGAAGGAAACTCATACAGGTTTAGAACAACAGACCTTTAATTTTTGGGTGAGCCATTCCTCTAAAGCAGCCTAATTTAGCTGCTGTTAAAATGTGTCAATAATGTTAATCAAACATTAGAAAGAAAATCACTCGCTGTCCTTGACCGAATCACTATTGTAAAATAAATAAGAATGAATGTATATTGAATTTATACAATGAAGACTATTCAGTTTATTTGTACAATTATTTTATACAATATAATTTTTTATTCAGTGCTTTAAGTGTTTAAAGTAGGTCTATTTTTTGTAATTTGTGTCCGTTTACTTGTCTTAATTATAAGCTTGTTTTTACTTAGGCTAGTATTTTTTATTTAAATTTTTTTAAATATTGAATTATAAAATGTAAATGCAATATATACATAGCTTTAAATAGGATTTTTATCCTATCAAAATTAGGAGTATAATTTTGATAGGATAAAAATATATATTATATCAAAATATATATTATATTTGGAATAGGGGGCCCTGCAGTAAGTCATAGCCCCAGGACCCTGTAAGGTCTTAATGCGGCCCTGATTGGAGGGCCTTAGTCCAGCTATCTTTTCTATCAGATTTTGAAGTCAGAACTATGTGTACTATCCATACAAGACATTGTAGCATAAATAACTGTACTCATCATTTTCATTTTGCATCAAAAAGGATAAACTTTAATGGTTTGTCCACTTTACCCAGTTCTGCCATGTTCCCTTAGGATTCTTCTTTCTGATTGGTTCTAGTCTGTTGTACAGTATTTGACAGGCATCCTGCAAAAGTATGATTTGAACACTCAAAAAATAGACATTAAAGTATAAAGTGCATTTCATGATTTCTTCAAATTTGCCTCCTATAGACAAAATAAATAAATCCTTCAAGATCAACAAATCATGTCGTCCAGACAGATCTGGCGTTCGATACCTTCACAGCCATTCCATTAGCGTCGGTACCAAAGGACGCAGCAGATGAGCAGGTATTCGGGACGCATTGTGTGCTGGTCTCAGAGATGTGGATCAAAGAAGCAGGAATATTCAGCTCTCGACTCGTCACCTGTGAGAAAACAGCTGAGATTAGCCCAAAAATGATGAAATGGTTACAGATACATGCAGAAAGCAGGAAGTGGTACCTGTTGGATTTTAGTGTGTATGCCTTGGCCCATTTCCGTCCCGCCGTGGCTCACTAGCACAGACCCATCCTTATAAATATGCACGAGAGCGGCAGCCTTTGTTAAAAACAAATGAAAACACCAACAGATCATTTGGAGTTCATTTAAAATAATATAAAAGACACTGTGGCATGATTTATTCCCAAACTTTTTGCAGCGTGCAACCCTTTCTAGTTTATGACACATTTCAAGCACCCCATCACCGTACTCCAGTTAAACACCACATTTTTTACTGCAATACAAGTATAAATACAAGTATTCACTGTATACAGGGCTTGACATTAACTCTTTTGCTCACAGGCCACTGTGGCTAGTGGTTTTCCAAAATTACTAGCCACTCAGCATTTTCACTGGCCACAATTTTGTTGCTGGAAAATTACATTTTATATGACCAAAGTTACTGCATATTAAAATTTATTTGAATTGATTTCCAGGTTTGTTTGTTTGTTTTTTGCCTATAAAAAGGGCATTTCCCCCTAACCTTATTAAAGGCATGCATCATCTTTCATATCAAATTCTTACATTTTATTAATAATTTCACTTAATATAATAAGACTCTATAGGGCTGTTACCAATCAAATGAAATCAGTATTAACAAAACAAAATTTTCCACTGCTGGAGAAACAGAAGCAGCTGAAGTTGCATTTAGATGCATTTACACAGACAATTTAATGAAGCTGAAATGTAGCATGAATGCATTAACACTGCAAAATTACAACAGCATAAATAATGCTGTAAGCTTGGTGTTTTAGATCAGGTTTTTTTATTTACAAATATGAAAAGTAGTAAAAAATACAAAAAAAAGTTAACAGTAACCCGCAGTTAAAAGAGTTGAAAGTAACCCGCCAGCAGGTGGCAGCAAGTTGACTGTCTTAATGAGTGAGACATTGAGGCATTCAAACGATTCTTTCAGACGGCTGATTCATTCAAGAATGAAGCAAGCGTCTGTCTTTATGAATGGACCACTGAATCATTGACTCTTAGTCGTGTCATGTTAATTAATTAGGCTAGGCTTTATGTAATAAATATAAAAACATTTTTTACCGCAATATGTTTCTTCTGTGTGCAGTTGTGTTCATTTGTTTTGATTTCTCCATGAGATTGTCTCACGTGAATCTCAACTGCCGCGACCTTGTTGCTATTGATTATCCATTATGAATTGCCGTTTACACCAAGTGTAATAAAATCAGAATCATTCTCGCAGAAATTTTGGTGCTTCTCTAATTCGAAGTTTTAATTATATTAGATTAGTTGTCCGGTCGGGCAAGTAAAATTCTCTTTCACTTGCCCCTTCAAAAAATGCACACAGATCATCAAAAGCATTCTCTCGCACACCCCTGCTGGTTGGTCTGTGCACCCCTAGGGGTGCGCGCACCCCAGTTTGGGAACCACTGATTTAGAAGAATGTAACCTGGTTGAGGAAGCCCTCAGAAAACCCAATGCCATATTTGATGGGCACAATGGCTATTCCTCTCTTTTTGAACTGGTTCTGCTGATTAAAAAGATCGATGGCCTGCCGGCGCTGCCTGAAGTCAGCTTTTTCCATACACTCGTTCCAACAGCGGACAAGATTCTCTGGGTCAAACTCCATCTTGTAGTGAGTGAGGGACACGTCCTTGTACATGTTTATCTCCCTGATCTGCAAAAATAAAATGGAATAAAGCACAAATAATGAGAGATGAAAATAAATAAGTAGATAACTATTTATTTACTCATTCCCAGAAAAGCCTATATTTATGACAATCAATCAATCAATAATCATTAACATATCAGCATCAAAGGCTATATTAATTCCAATAAATAAATATTCATTACCATGTCAGCATCAATGATTATATTAATTCCAAGAAATAAATAACAAATTGAAATTTCAGCAATAAATGCTATTTTAATTCCAATAAACAAACAAATAAATACATTTTAATTACCATATCAGCAAAGGCTATATTAATGCCAAGAAATAAATATTTAATTGAATGAATCATAAATACATAAATATTAATTTCTATATCAGCATCAAAGGCTATAATAACAAATTTATTTAGCATAATGATGTGACAATTTTGTGACTGAGTGACACCGACCTCTTCAGGCAGACGGCTGAGTTTGAGCGCAACATCATCGATCATACTCTCAATGACCAGCATGCACTGCGGCACACCGAACCCTCGGAATGCAGTGTTGGAGGGCAGGTTGGTCTTGCAGGCCGCCGATTGGCCACGCAGGTTAGGAATGTTATAGGCATTATCAAGATGCAGGAGGATCTTCTCTGCCACCTTCAGAAGTAAAATATAAGAAAAGTGATACAGTATTAATTTCGTACTATATATTCTACAATGACTTTCACACAGGTGCCTATAGTGGCCAAAGCAGCACCCTGAACGAGTAGCTTCCACTTTTAAGCCACTATTTTGATCTTCAGCAGGAAGGCAAATCATCTCACCAGTACGGATTCATCTGCTGTGTTTCCAGCATTGGCATAGTACTGGAAATCAGCTGCTGTTATCCTCCCGTTCTTCATAAAGCCTACCTGTTGAAGTAAAAATATGCAAATAAATTACATAAATACAGATTAGATAATAGTTGTTATTAGATTAAGTGTTTAGAAAAAGCACTAGCCTTATATTTTCCCCACACCGGGTGGCGTCCTCCGGTAATTAACATGTCCTCTCCTCTCTCCAAAACACATCGTACTGGCCGTCCAGTCCTGAACAGAGAGAGAAAGTGTTATAATTGCCAAACTTCTACATATTAAAAATATTCACATGGTAAATACAAATGTAAATAATTTATATTTAATATGTAATTTAAATAATCATGATGATTCTGATGTTTGTGTCCAACTTATTTTGACTCACTTCCATGCAGCAACAGCAGTGATGGAGGCCAAAATGGCGGTTTTGGTGACCTTGCCTCCAAAGGCTCCGCCCAGTCGCTTAACGTGACAAGAAACACGATTGGACGGGATTCCCAGCGTCTCAGCTACTGACTCCTACAACAGATTAGAACAAAACATATATTTCTTGCACGTTTAACTCCCTGATCTGAAAAAATAAATAAATAAATTAAATTAAATTAAACCTTTTTCATTTAAAAAAAACAACTTTTTTTACATGTTTATCTCTGTCACGATTTCCCACTGGAGTGCCCATGATCTCCACCAGAGGGCACTCCATCCATGCCTTTTACTATTCATTCAGGACTACATTTCCCATAATCCTTTGCCCGGACTCATGGCACTCACCAATCGTAGCCACCTGTCTCTCATCACCTCATAAGTCACACACTATATGGCCCTGTCCCAAATGGCACCCTAAACCCTTGCGGGGTCCGCACTTTCATGACGTAATGCCGCTTTGACTGTCGGGTAGAAGTCTGCTGCGGAGCTTGCCCCAGTGCGGGCTCAGCAGAAGTGCGGATCGAGGGCTCATAATGGTGAGCACCCTTCTGAACGTTAAAATTATGATTGGGGCACCCTACAGTCTCGTGGACTTAACGGACACGCGACGGCCATTGTAAGTCTGTAAGACCGCAAGTGCACATGAAGCGTTCCATTTGAGACAGGCCGTCAGAATGGCACACACACACACACTCTCACACCGCTGATGATTGTTAGGCATGTAGTGTGCTCGTGTTCTACTTTGTTACCTTGTTCCTTGTTTCTGACCCTGGACTGTTTCCTTGTTTTTTGATTGTTTGCTGCCTGCCCTGACCATTGCCTGTGTATTGGATTACCCTTTTGCCTGTGCCTTGGATATTACTGTTTGCTGGTGTTTTGACCCTGCCTGTCTGACCACGCTTTTAATAAAGCCTTGCTTTTGGATCCTCTACTCCGTTGTCAGGCCTCCTACGTTACAATCACCTTGATCTGCACAGGATCTGATTATGATAAATAACAAAACAAAATAAAAATAAAACATAATAAAACAAAGTTTCAGCTACTGACTTCCTATAATGAACAAACTTTCTTGCACATTTATGTACGTTTATCCTGCAAAATGTAAAATAATAAAATTAATACAATATAAAAATATATATATATATATAATAAAAAAAAGTATAATAAAACATCATTAAAGCAAAAAATATATATACATATAAAAATATATACAGCTCCTTACTCCTACAAGGAATTGGAACAAACAAACTTTTTTGTACATGTTTATCTGCCTGAATCTACCAAATTATTTATTTAAAAAAAAAATAATAATAAAATAAAAAATATATATATATATATATATATATATATACACATTACATAAAATTGTTCAAATGTCTAGCTAATTTAAGGCCATTTTTGTTTCAAAACGATTTCTATGTGTAACTGAGCAGATATAAAACATACTTGTGTAAATGCTGGGTGCTGAGTGGACAAATAAACTTTCATCTCCTTCTCTTCCCCGATTGGAATGACCAGAAAACTCTGTGTTTCCAAGTAGAAATGCTCCTGTCCTCCAATCCGAATCTCTCCTATGAAGCATGTAGAACCATGTTATAGAACATGAATGAGGTAATCAGAAAGGAAGTGCACAATCTTACCTTCGTACACTTGTTCAGCCTCTCTCAAACCCTTTTCCACATCTCCTCGCTCAATCTTTCTCCTAGGTAGGAAGAAAGACTCTTTTTCGATGGCCTCCTGAAAACAAGATCCAAAAGCAGCTCTATAAGAACTGAATATACAGTTAGGTGAGAATAAAAATGAGAGCAGCTAGATTATTTCTTCTCACCTCCACAGTGAAGATGCGATCCTGCAGATCTTCATAGCTGATCTTCACCGCTGCTGCTCCACGTTTAGCGTGTGCTTTGGAATCGGCAACCACAGCGCAAACCATCTGACCAACACAAGTCACCTGAGGATGCAGAAGAGATTGCAAATTGTGCATTATTTTGAAGAATTTTAATACACAATTAAAATTCCTACTTAAAACAAATACCTTACATAAAAATAGCAATAAATAATACACAGACCTCATCTTCAGCCAGCAGTTCTTCATCATATCCTATGAAGGTTCTGAACCTTTTGCCTGGTATGTCTTTAGCAGTGATCACATCCACCACACTGGGCAGCTTTAGAGCTTCACTAAAGTCAATATGACTGTGACGGTAAGAAAATGCAGCCATTTAGGTATAAAGTTACTCATTTGTTCCATTGCTGGTTTCAATTTAGTGTCAAAGTAATGAGCAACCATTACTTATTAATTAATAAATAAATGAACATTCATTTCCTTATCAGCAAAGGCTATATTCACGATAACAAACTAATTAATACATATCGATTTATTGATTTCCATATTAGAATTAGTCTACATTTATCACAATAAATAAATAATCATCTCCATATCAGCATGAAATGTTATATTTATGCTATTAAATAAATTAATAAATAAAAATGTGCATTGCCATATCAGCAAAGGCTATGTTCATGACTGTATACTTATTTATTTATTTCCACATCATCATTGAATGAATGAATGAATGAATGAATGAATGAATGAAGACACATCATTGACATATCAGTTTTAAAGGCTATATTCAGGACAATTAAAAATATTTATTGCCATTTCACCATTGTAGGCTATATTTACGACAACAAATAAATAAAAATGCAATGTCATATCAGCATCAAAAGCTATTTTCATGACAGACACATCATTGACATATCAGTTTTAAAGGCTATATTCAGGACAATTAAAAATATTTATTGCCATTTCAGGCTATATTTACGACAACAAATAAATAAAAATGCAATGTCATATCAGCATCAAAAGCTATTTTCATGACAATAAATAAACAAATAAAAACTTAAGAACTCCATGTTTAATTTAATTTGTTTTACTTTTCATTGTATTACATTTGTATGATAAAAAAAAAATTGTAATTAAAAATATTTTTTTAATGTTTTTTAAGTTGTTTATGCAAAGTGTCTTACGTGATCTTGGCGTGTGGCCTGGAGCTTGTCACGATCACGAGGAAAAGTTCACCGTCAGTTTGCGGTAGGTCATCACAGTATACGGCCTCTCCTGTAGCTTGATTCAGAGCTGTCCGGTGCATCATGGGTCGGCCCACCGGATCTTGAGCCGACTGACCCTCCAAAACATTCTGCACACATAAAACACACTACCTGATGTTTACCTTCTATAAGTTCAGTGCTTTTGCTTTTTGCTGGCTTTTAATTGAAAAAACAGATGTAAACAAGAAATAATAGGTAGAGAAAAAAGAAACAGGTTTGGGAATGTTGCAAGCAGGATTTGAACACAAATTTCCCATTTGAGCACCACGAGACCATGATTTTGCCCATAACAGTGCTTTTATGGACAGCTACCAGTGTTTCCCACAGACTTACACTCTATATGTGGCGGCACTTCCCCTGGGGGAAATATATATGTATATTATGTAAACATAAAACAGCAGATGGGCTTATTGAAAGTGCAAATTCATTCTCTGCCAGCAGGAGGCGCTTTAAGAGTGGCAGAAATAGCAGTTTCCCCGGTAACGGCTGTAATCAAAACAGCGCTGCGCTCATGAACGCTACTTTATCAGGCATTATAGGAAATATTAAATTAAAATGACATCAAAACTTTTCTGAAGACAATCGGTTCCCTTCAAAAAAGATACATTCATATAAAAACACCCATGCCGCGTTTTGACTTTGAACCTTGCAGAGCTCATGTTTATTCAACGAAGTCAAAGCATTTTGGAAAATCTATTTGTGGCAGTCAGTGTTGATATTGTGGCGGGCTACCACAAATAAATAAATTTATAGGAAACCCAGGCTACTAGGGCTGGGCAAAAAAATTGATTTTTCGATTTATCGTTTTTTTAAATGACATCGATTCGATATAGATTCTCAAAAGCCGCGAATCGATCTTTTCCGGGATTAATTTCAGCACATTTAAAACAAGATCTGATTAACGTGAATCTTATCATTAGTCTTCTCCACTAGATGTCACCCTTATTTACCTTGCGCGATGTTACAACAGAAAGCCTGTCATTCATTCAGCGCTTATCATGGCCATTCGCATGATTCGCAATGCTCAGGTGAAATGCTATAGTAATACTATAAATCTGCGGAAGCATTTGATATCACGCATAAGGCGCCATGATTTCCGCAATGAATGAATGGAGGATGGCGCGGCGCACTTTGTTTACTACACACATACTAAAGCGCGGCTGACGCTCGCGGTGTTTTCAGCTTCTGCCGTCTCACTATATGACGATATGAACACGAAAGTCATCTCCAGCTGCTCTGAGAGTCACTTCATTAGCATTTTACCGTTTAATTTGAGAAAACTACCGTGATATCACATACACAGCAGCTGCAAGTTCTTCACGGCAACCCGTCAAAATAAAAGTTTAGTTTAACGTTCTACTGTCAGAATATATTACTATTTAGCAGTCTGAGTGCATCATGGGTCGGCCCACCGGATCTTGAGCCGACTGACCCTCCAAAACATTCTGCACACATAAAACACACTACCTGATGTTTACCTTCTATAAGTTCAGTGCTTTTGCTTTTTGCTGGCTTTTAATTGAAAAAACAGATGTAAACAAGAAATAATAGGTAGAGAAAAAAGAAACAGGTTTGGGAATGTTGCAAGCAGGATTTGAACACAAATTTCCCATTTGAGCACCACGAGACCATGATTTTGCCCATAACAGTGCTTTTATGGACAGCTACCAGTGTTTCCCACAGACTTACACTCTATATGTGGCGGCACTTCCCCTGGGGGAAATATATATGTATATTATGTAAACATAAAACAGCAGATGGGCTTATTGAAAGTGCAAATTCATTCTCTGCCAGCAGGAGGCGCTTTAAGAGTGGCAGAAATAGCAGTTTCCCCGGTAACGGCTGTAATCAAAACAGCGCTGCGCTCATGAACGCTACTTTATCAGGCATTATAGGAAATATTAAATTAAAATGACATCAAAACTTTTCTGAAGACAATCGGTTCCCTTCAAAAAAGATACATTCATATAAAAACACCCATGCCGCGTTTTGACTTTGAACCTTGCAGAGCTCATGTTTATTCAACGAAGTCAAAGCATTTTGGAAAATCTATTTGTGGCAGTCAGTGTTGATATTGTGGCGGGCTACCACAAATAAATAAATTTATAGGAAACCCAGGCTACTAGGGCTGGGCAAAAAAATTGATTTTTCGATTTATCGTTTTTTTAAATGACATCGATTCGATATAGATTCTCAAAAGCCGCGAATCGATCTTTTCCGGGATTAATTTCAGCACATTTAAAACAAGATCTGATTAACGTGAATCTTATCATTAGTCTTCTCCACTAGATGTCACCCTTATTTACCTTGCGCGATGTTACAACAGAAAGCCTGTCATTCATTCAGCGCTTATCATGGCCATTCGCGCGATTCGCAATGCTCAGGGGAAATGCTATAGTAATACTATAAATCTGCGGAAGCATTTGATATCACGCATAAGGCGCCATGATTTCCGCAATGAATGAATGGAGGATGGCGCGGCGCACTTTGTTTACTACACACATACTAAAGCGCGGCTGACGCTCGCGGTGTTTTCAGCTTCTGCCGTCTCACTATATGACGATATGAACACGAAAGTCATCTCCAGCTGCTCTGAGAGTCACTTCATTAGCATTTTACCGTTTAATTTGAGAAAACTACCGTGATATCACATACACAGCAGCTGCAAGTTCTTCACGGCAACCCGTCAAAATAAAAGTTTAGTTTAACGTTCTACTGTCAGAATATATTACTATTTAGCAGTCTGAAGACTCAATGCTACTACTGCTAATAAATATTAATAAATCTTTATTCTTAAAGGAATAATCACATCTGTTTTATTTTTAATTTTAACAGTAAACCTCTGTTGTGCAGCACTTTGTTTGCCAAAAAAATAAAAGGGTTTAATTTTCATTATAAATTAAATTAATGTTTTATGCCTTCATCTGATTCCCAGAAAAATTAAGAACATTTTATAGGGCCCTACTATTGTTTAAAAAGGACCCTATACAGAAAAAATTTCTTAATTTCTTTTTATTAATTCACTATTTGTAAACTGATGTTTACTGTTAATTATTTTTAAATATCAATAGCATTTGTATTAAAACTATATTCACTAAATGTAATTTAAAAAAAATCGAGAATGGAATCGAATCGAGAGCTTGCGAATCGAAATGGAATCGAATCGGGATATCTGAATCGATACCCAGCCCTACTGGCTACTATAAAAACACATATCGAAAGACCATATAGCGCTACCTGAAACTCTTGGTAGCCAGGCTGGATGTGTTTAGGAAGAGGCTGAATTGCACTCTGCATCTTTTGGGGTATTTCCCCCTGAGTGACATCCTGTAAAAAGATACACACACACAAAAGGGGTAATAAAATAATTTAAACTTCATGTGATACTGATTTCCTTAATTGGTTCATACCTTTTCCTTCAGGTATTGGAGGACGAGCAGGTTGAATTTAAAAAACAAGCTCAATGTCAGGGATCTGCGGAAATCCACTTTCCCGCCTGGTGCCGACGGCCCAAGTTTGATCTCATCAACCAGCGTGCTGTACGCATCACTTAACGTCGCCTCCTCCCAAGGCCTTCAAGAAAGAAAAAAAGTCAAAGCACAAAAACATCGCAAACTATTGCAACTTAAAAAACAATGCAACCTATTATGCAACTTTTACTCCCATCCCAGAGGCAATGCAAATGAGAAAAAAAAAAAACTATACTAAGCATTACACAAACTAACTTTTACTCCAATACCAGAGGAGATACGAAAAAAAAAAAAAACCCCAAAGCATTAGATAATTGTTTTTTCTTGTATCCCTGGGGAAATGCAACTCAAAAAACTAAATAAAAAAACAAAGCAAAGTATTACACAAAGCATTAGACAACTTGACGTTTACTCCATTCAAAGAGAAAATGCAACAAAAAAAAAAACAACGCTAATTATTAGCCACCTTAACTTTTACTCTATTCCCAGAGAAAGTACTGCACAAAAATTCAAAAAACAACTGAAGTATCACACAATTTAAATTTTACTCAACAAAACATCATTTACTAATACTGTAATTTCATAGGAAACAAAACTTTAAAAAAAATAATAATAACAATTTAATTTCATACCTTCCTACAATCTGTTGGCATGCACGTTCAGCACTGAGGATGGTGGCTCCCACTCCTCCATAATAAATACTGATCTCCTTCACTACATTTGAGTTCTCGTTGAACCAAACGCGCATCCCAGCATTCACCGTAGCTAGTGCACTCTCCTTACGCGGGGCATGTCGGAAGGCATGGACAATCTCGTTCTGGGGAAAGAAAAAAAAACCATGATACTTTTGCAAACAATGTGCAAAGCACTGAAACTAGCCGACGGTTCGTTTCTTACCGGTCTTGTAGCTGGAATGAAAACGGACAACACCATCTCATCTGGTTTTAGAATTGTCTTTGCAAATCCAAGGAAAAAGTCTTTATCGATTGACACCCTCCTTCGTCCATCTGGAATGGATATTTGGGTAGAAAAGTGAGAAGCCTGTCAGGCAAACATGCTTGAAAAACTGATTCAAATATTATAAATTATATAGGAAGTTGAATCACCTTTAGAAAGTGCCACTAGTGTGCATCTTCCAGCAGCTAAGACGGGGGTCAGGTCAGAGTTTGGATATGCGCTTGCAATATTGCCACCCAATGTCTACATATGTTAACAAACATAAAAAACAAATAATAAAAATAAGCAAAATAAAGTGTAAACTAATAAAATTTTGATTGCTGACTATTTAACATTTAAAAATAAAACTATTTAACATTTACAATAAAGTTAATTTATTTTTTGAAAAAATCATTATGCCTTCTTTTAGATTTTTTTTTTTACTTAATTTGGGAATTCAATGTTCAAATATATTTAATTAGCATATATCTGAAACATAACATTTTGTCAGTAATTAAAATTATTTAAAAATAATAATTAATTCAAATAATAATTTTAAATTAAAGTATTTCTTTCTTTGTTGATCAACGTTGTTAGAGTTAAATAAAACTATTAAACATTGCTTTCTGTGATTGAAATACAGATCAAATAAAATAATCAAATAAAATTATTTGAAAGATCAAATAAAGTAAAAAGTTTTCACTCACTATAAATTATATATATTAAAAACTGACAAAAGCAGTGAAATTTAAACTAAAAATCATATATATATATATATATATATATATATAAATAGACAGTAGTTATTTTTTTCACTGTGAATTCTGGGATTCTTGGCCTTCTCCGTAAAGGATACATTCAATGCCGCCTTCAGAGCGAGTGAATTTGTGAGAGCGAGCAAGAGTGATTCAGGGTTTGTTTACACTTACAGCCACATTTCGGATCTGTTGTCCGCCCACAAGCTTTATCTGCTGCAGCAGAGCCCGAAACATGTGCGTGCTCTCCGGTGGGAAATCATTTATACTTCTCTCCAACACACTCTTCAGAACCGACATACTGCATCCCGCTCCAACACACACACCTACAAACACAAACCATTCATTAATGCTTCTTGCAAAATATCATTTTATATCAATATATAAGGGGATTGTTCACCCAAAAATGAAAATTATGTCATTATTTTCTCACCCTCAAGTTGTTCCAAACAGTGGCTGGTAGCCATCGACTTCCATAGCATGGAGGAAAAAAAAAAGACTATGGAAGTCAATGGCTACCGTCAACTGTTTGTTTACCAACATTCTTCAAAATATCTTCTTTGTTCAGAAGAAGAGGAAAAAACTCAGGTTTGGAACAACTTGTGTGCAAACTTGAGGGTGAGTAAATGACATAATTTTTGGGTGAACTATCTCTTTAAATTTGACTTTCGGCACTGTTAGATTTTGAATTGATTTTTGAGTATCTACTTATTGTAGTGACATATGCATAAGATGGTTTCATCAAGTTGCTATTCTTGGACAATATTGTCATAGATTTTGTCCGCTTCTGAAGTGTTGTTATTGTTAATTAAAAATATAAAAATTGTTTGTTAATCGAAATAAAACTGAAATTAGATCAAATATATTACTTACAATATAAACTTACAAAACGTAAACTTAAAAAAAATTCAATTATACATACATACATATACATACATACCTATATATATATATATATATATATATATATATATATATACTGTATATATGTATGCATGTAAACAAAAAATAAAAAATGTATCTAGAAGTATATAAAAACTCTAATAAAAAAATCACAAAAGCACACAAACTAATATCGAATATATATAAATCTAATTCAAAATATAAATAAATACTAGTGTATAAATAGTAAATAAATAAATAATTAATTTAAAAAAATCACCTGCCTTCGTGAACAGCAAAATCTGCTTTTATGCAAAAACACACATACCCTCTGGTTTTTGTGTAACCTTGAACAGTTCTGGCACTTGTGTTGGTGATATTATTACAGGATGAAAGATACCCTTGAACTTCATATCTAGACCTGTAAAGTAAAGTAAAGTAAAGTAAAGTAAAGTAAATGTATTCACACATTTGCCAAGGATAAATCCTTATTAAACAACAATGGGGTAAAACATCACAGTGGCTGAAAATGTCAGATCAGCAGACAAAAATTAGAGTTTACTCCATTGGAGTTTATTAGGTTTGGCCTGGTATGCCCATACGCAACCTATGTTGGTGTTGCCCAAGACAAGAGGGGCTTGTGGGTAAACAGCCTTCAGCTGGAGCAGCTCATCTAGAGATCCAGGGTTGATCCAGGTCATTCTCTCCCCACAAAACCTCTGAGTGGATTGGTCCTTGACCTCTGCCAATCTCTAAACACCAAAAAGCAGAATAGACCATGATTACACAACATCCAAACATGTTGTTTAGCTGATAACAACATTTGAACTTCTGACAGGCAGCATATCGAAGCCTAAAATAGAATTAATAACAAACTAGAACCATATGGCGACCTTGTTAAACCTTGCTTAAACATTAAACTTAATTTAAAGGAGTCATATGGGGACAAATTATTTTGTGTATTTGGTGTAATGCAATGTGTTTATGCGGTTTAAGGTTCAAAAAACATATTATTTTCCACATAATGTACATTATTGTTTCTCCTCTATACCCCGCCTTTCTGAAACGCGTCGATTTTTACAAAGCTCATCGGTCTGAAAAGTGGGTGCAGCTATCCAGTGCATTGTGATTGGCCGAATACCTCAAGCATGTGACAGAAATGTTACGCCCCTTACCATACTGTGTTTCCATCATACAGTCTATGGTTTCCATGTGTCCGGCGCGACGAGACAAAACCAAAAAAACCCATTACAAACGAGGCATTTGTTGCATCCAGTGGGGACATAATTACTGATTGTAATGACTTATACTGTGTTTTTACGCTTTGCGTTGCGTATTGCGCCGCGTTAACATAAAACCATGTCTGCAGTTGTGATCGGAGAAATTACAAACAATAAGTGCTACTCTACACTGCTCAAACTCGCGTTTGAATCATCAGTGGCAAATTCTTTATATATAAAAAACGTACTTACAGGCTGTGAGTCAGAAGTGCCAGACTGTCCTTGCAAAGTTGGAACTGCCCCACTTTATAGAAACATTATGTCCTCTATTGGAAGGCCAAACAAAGTAGTTTCGCTTTCACAACGAAACACACAGAGTGAGCGGCTCCAGGCGGATGCGACAAAGGAGGATTGCGGCAACCACATGTGACCCCGGGCTGGACTCCGCTTCATTCACGGTGAAAGCCGATCCGGCGATTGACAGAGCGAAGTTTATGTTTTTCCTCAGCGACCAGCACGGATCAGCTCTAGGCATGACGAAGCGGATATCGTCCTCTTTTGGAAGACCAAACAAAGTAGTTTCACTTTCACAATGAACCACACAGCGTCTTCAGGACATGGCGGCAGCGGCCGCAACAATACTACAGCGAGAATAAAAGTTGCGCCTTCTTTCTTTGCGTGAACATTTGGGCGGCGTTATGCAAATCTTCCTACATAGTGACATAGATACTGTATGTGGGGGCGTGTTTAAACGAGGTGTTTTAGGAGGGCATGGGCAAGTCTTAACTTTTATAAAGAATATCTCTTTGGATTTGAGACTTTAGTCTTTGCAATTTTACAGATCTTCTTTACGCACCAGGAGCTTGTAATACTCCAAAGAGAAAGGAAAAATTTATATTCGCATCATATGACCCCTTTAAAATCTCATAGTCATCATTACATAACCTACTTTATAGTGAAGTCAAATTAACTACTTTGAACAATCTGACGAACCATGAGCTCAGGAGGGAAGATCAGATCCTGGGTTGGGTCGAGGGAAAGCAAGTCATCTTTACTAAACAGTTCTGGTTGACCCTAATAAATACAAAAATAAAGTTTTATATATGCAATATTTATTATATATGTAATAATAAGATTTAGGATACATTTAGTAATATATATATATTTCTGATACAAATAATAATAATATTATTTGTTATATATATCTTATTATAAAAATAATATTTATTATATATTTAATAACGTTACTTATTATATATTAATTTCTCTGTAAATATTCACTATATAGTACATTTTGTTTTAAAAAAAGTATTTGCAATAGTCAAGATAAAAATACTCACATTCTCTATGGGCTGCACAGATCCGTTTTCATTTCCATTTGCCATATTGCATGCTGAGCCATTTAACTGGCAACAGTTTTCACTCTATAAACAGAAAAAGTAAAAAAATAAATAAATAAAAATTGGCAACACACAAATGTCAGATCGACTTTATATAAAGTTTAGCTGACTGTCACATTGTAAAAGTCACATTGTAATTCCCAGAATCCCAGAAATGTCAAGCATGGACCACATTGTTAAAATAAATAAATAAATAAGAAAAATTAAACACACTGTATCAAAATATGTGGCGACATAAAGGGTGGCTTTGAGATAAACTGAGAATATTAAACACAGTCTGAAATGGGAATGGTTGGGCAGCTCGGAACAAATCCATAAAGGATCTGAAACGGCATGCCAGATGAGTGCCACATGATTCAGCAGCTGACACGAATTAAATCAAGGATGAATCCAGACGAATGCTGTTCACCTCACAGAAGGTTCTGTAGCCTTCAACGATGGGCCGGTACCCTGTGCATCTGCATAAATTACCTGCAATAAGAACATTCATGTTTGATCATGACTGAAAGTCTTATTATATGTGTCTGTGTATTTAAGATGGTGTATGTGGCATCGTACCAGCGAGACCCTCGGTCACGTCCTCCATGGTGGGCTGTGGGTTATTTCTAAGTAATGTGTACATGGACATCACCATCCCAGGAGTACAAAACCCACACTGAGACCCATGAGCCTTTGCTATACGCTCCTGATGAAGCAAACATACTGTCAATGATGCATAAATATGTCCACAATAATATTATACTGAATATTTGTGTGTTATTTTTAATTATATTTATTTTTAACTTAATCATTACAATATATTTTTCAAACATCAATGTCATTGTTTTGGGGAGTCACACAGCATATTAAAATATTAGATTACAATTATATTTGAATTGAATTGAATATTTAAGAATAACTATTATGTATTAAACTTATATTAAATTTACTATAAATATTACAATTATAATAAAACGTAAAAAAAAATATATAATAATAATCATAAGCTTTAATTATTAATCAGACTTGCAATTATAACTATAAATCAAAATTATATTTTACAATATTTTAATATTTTGTATTTATTTAATATATATTTTACTTTATTTGTAAAATGTAAAGTGTCCACAGATATTATACTGATTATGCATACACAACGTAATCATAAAGTTTTGCAATATATTTTTGAAAGATTTTATTTTTAAATGTGTTGTTTTTGAGTCGCACCACATTATATTTTACTAACAGAAATATGACTTATCTATAATTCACCATTATTAGAATATATAAAAATTATTTTGATTATATTGAAATAAAAACAAAAATATATATTTTTCATTCAAGTCGTTTTACATATAAATTGCATTTAAATTATTTTTTTAATTAATAGATAATAAAAAAATTTTACATCACTGACCTACATACAGGAGTGAAAGAGAGAAAATCAAGTCATGATCAGATAATTTAATCTCATAATATGGAGTGATAAAATCATATATGAATTGACCGCACTCTAATATATTAATCTGGATTGAAGGTAATCTAAATTTTAATCCGTCTGAAAACTAAAGTCATGATCTGGATCTCATAATCTGGATTGGGCATAATATAGATTCTAAAGTGAATCTGTTACCTGGACTGGGTGTAATTTGGTTTTAGTGCTTCCAATGCCTTCAACGGTGGTCACAGCTGCTCTGTGAAGTTGGCACACAGGAAGCAGACAGGCATTGACAGACCAATGACTGGCCAGGGAAAAAACAAGCATTTAATACAGATTTTTATCAGATGTGCATAACAAAAACTAATTAATAAATAAAAGTGTAAATATATTAGCAGCATGCCTATCTTCCTTAAGAAAGAAAAAAGGAATCTGACTTAAAAAATAATGTAGAATTTAAGTTTAAGGAGAAAGAGAGAGTGAAAGAAATACTTGATGTTCTTGGTCTGAGGGTCGTATCTGGACACCATGACGGTACAGGCTCCACATCCTCCTCCACCACAGCCATACTTAGTGCCTGTCAGCCGCACTGCGCACACACACACACACACACACACAGAGAGAGAGAGAGAGAGAGAGATATTCAAAATGCAAAACTAAACCAAAGTTAAATTAACCCAGTAATATTTGTAATTACATAATCTCCTCTGGAGATGGACTACGATAACACTTCATAGTTAACATTAGCCAATCTTATTACATTACATAAATATAATGTATAATATAAATATATAATCAAAAAATACGACACACACACACACACACATATATAAGCACAACACAAAAAAAATAACAACCATTAATAATAATAATAAATTATAATGTTGTTAATGTAAATAACAATTATAACATTGTTAATAATACATTTCAATATTATTGTTATGAATGGTTATTCATTTTTGTAAACGTATTTCTTTTTTCCGTTGTATAATTAAAAATCATAAATTGTGTGTGTATATATATATATATATATACACACACACACACACATACATATACTTTAATTATGCTTTGATTTTTATTTTTTTTTCTTAAAAATTACATTATAATTACTCTCTCTAATAATTGTAAGTAAGAAAATAAATAAAGCATAATACCCTTAATAGGAATAACTATTTATTATAATAATCATCATCATCTGAATATGCATTAAAACGTTTAAAACAATACATTTCTTCCTCAGATAAGACAGCAACATAGCCTCGGGGTCTGGATTCTTCTCAATTATCTGTTAAATATAAGCATATGCAAAATACATTCAGTTTATGCAGATTATATGAAATGTCTTGATTATAATCGCTGTCTCTATTCAAATTAAACAGTCTTTTTTCAGTTTATCCTTGTCTTTATTATGTTCTATGCATTACTATAAGGATTGAACTGTGAACATCACAACCATAAATCTTACAACAAACACATGACCAGGCTACACTTGTGCACAGAATTTCTGCAGATGATACTCATGAGAAATAAGCACCTTTTCCCCGTTGACATAGAAAAGCAAGCCATCGCTCCTGGTTTGTTCGGCCATATTCTCAAAGTTTATGTCCAACTCAAACAAAATTGAAGCAAATGTGCAGACTGGATGCCCTCTCTGAGATCTCCGCCCAAACTGAGAAAAGTCTTCTGCCAAGTGCGAAATGTAGAAATGGAAAACTAGTGGAAGGGTTAGTAAAGGAGGAGCTTATCTGACTGCAAGTTATACAGTTATCAGGTCAGTTATTAAATACGAATCGTGTAAATAATTAATATCATGTGTATTTTTTTTTTTTTGTCAACTCGTGTCTAAAAATACTCTTTCTGGGCTAAACTACCAAACACGAACCCGACGTGTTCACGTGTAATCTGTTACTTTTCTCAGCGCTGACTGACTGAACCAATTACAGCAGTTTGAGATTACTGAAGACGTGTTTTTAACAAACCGTTAATAAAGAATACTTACATTACCTATTTTGATTAGATATCAGGTACTAATTCGCGAAATTAGTAGATTTAAATTATGAGGCGTTTTAGAACAAAAAGGTCTCCTCCATTCAGTCAAAACCCGTTTGAATGTTATTCGACTTTTGAGCCACCGAGCTTCGTTCATCACTTCATCAATTTTTCGTTTTCGTTAGGGTTTGTCTTGCTGACAGGCTTTTAAAAGTGCATGGCAGACTGCTTTGCTGTAGTTTGCAGTGCAGTGTTGCCAACTAATTTTCAGGGGAAGTTGCTATGCAGTCAGTGTTTCAATTTGATTTGTCCATATTTACCACCAGATGGCGCCAGAGACGTAAGTGCAACTTCTTAATCTGGCCATAAGATGGCGCCAGAGGCCGATGCGTAATTAAGGCATCTGGCCACTAGATGGCGGTAAAAGCAAAAAATAAAATAAAACTAGCAATACCGGCTGTTCAGAAAGTTAAATTTTTCCAGAATCATCCATACATTTAACAAAAAAGACTAATACAATGTTTCAATGTCGTTTTTTCTACTTGTACACTCCACATTTTAAACTATATGAAAATGCATTCACAACGGTTCTCCCTCAGGACTATAGATAGAAATGTATTTTCACTGTTAATGAACCGAAGAATTACAATACATTGAGTTTGCCCACTGTCTCTGTTTTCTGAGGCTGTTGGAATAGAACACACACACACACACACACACACAGGTTTGTTTTTATGGTTTATTGGGACTTTCCATAGGCGTAATGGTTTTTATACTGTACAGACCGTATTTTCTATTGCCCTACACCAACCCTACCCCTAAACCTACCCCTCACAGGAAACTTTCTGCATTTTTAGATTTTCAAAAAAAACTCATTCTGAATTATTAATAAGCTTTTGAATTACGGGGACACTGAAAATGTCCTCATAAATCCCCTTCTCGTTGTAATACCTATGTCATACCCATGTTATTATACAAATTTGTGTCCTCATAAACCACATAAACCACATAAACATGCGCACACACACACACACACATGTCTGGTCAGCGATCCTTGTGGGGACTCTCCATAGGTGTAATGGTTTTTCTACTGTACAGACCGTGTATTCTATTGCCCTACACCAACCCTACACCTAGTCTGGTCAGCGATCCTTGTGGAGACTCTCCATAGGCGCAATGGTTTTTCTACTGTACAGACCGTATATTCTATTGCCCTACACCAACCCTACACCTAAACCTACCCCTTACAGGAAACTTTGTGCATTTTTAGATTTTCAAAAAACTTCATTCTGTATGATTTATAAGCTTTTGTACCCGTGGGGACCACAATTTAGGTCCCCACCGTGACACGAGTCCCCATGAGTCTGTGTGTAGTCAGGTTTAAGTCCCCACCAGAATATATAAACCATTACACACACACACACACAGGAACCCTGCTGTGACCCCCTGTGAAGTGTGATCAGGGAACCCCTACAGAGATTAGCACAAGTTAATACCCTACACAGTCAGAAATCTCTCCCCACAGGCATTCAGGATTAGCTAAAATGCTAACACACATACAAAACGTGCACATATGCAGCTACGCACAACAGACACCACTGAGACAAACATGTCAATAAACTCAACCGCTCACACACAAAGGCATTAAATGCAAAATTATGTCACTCACCCTGATAGCGCATGTATATCACAGAGACGTCTATTTGACATCTGCAAGGCGTATTTTTTTTAGAGTTTGTGCTCATCTGCAATACGTCTATAGGATGTTTCCTATCAGATGTCAAATAGACGTTTAGAAAATGTCTAATGTCTGTTAAAGATCACTTCATCTGGAAAGCATCTGCCGTGTACAAACATATGACAGACATCTTTAAGATGTCAGTTTTACATTCATTCTAAATCATAAACATCTTAAAGACATCTTCTAAACATCTATTTGACATCTGATAGGAAACGTCCTATAGACGTATTGCAGATGAGCAAACACAAATGTCTTGCAGACGTCAAATAGATGTCTCCGTGATGTACGTGTGTTACAATGGTTCATTTCTTTCTAAAAGAAATGGTTTTGTTTGTGTTGTATCAGTCCAAATGGGTAAATGAGTAGTTCTGTACTAAGGCATTGACTTCAGTTGAGGGACAGTGGCAAAGGTTAAGCTAGACTCAAGGTTACACATTGCTAATCATGGTAATGGAATGTTTACTTTGACTCGACATGACCAAGAGTCTTCGATTTCTTGACAATCATGGCTAAAAGCTCACTTCAGCAACTGTTCTTTTACTACTCTTGAGTTTTAGCCACTGCACTACACCACCTAACCTCGCTAAAATATGTCTCTGAATCATTGTCACAAGTAGCAATTGCATTGTTCACAAGCATGACATTAGCGCAGTAGCATATCTCTCACAGTATCAAGCTAAGTAGCAGCATGACAATTCTTTTTGAAGACTCATTACACAGCATCAATTCAGTGTACAGAGCAGCTGTTAAACGAGCAAATGTACATTATACAGATTTCTGGAAATGATCAGAAATTTGCCATATTTGTAGACAAACATCTAATTAGCATCTTTAAAGAAACAGATTTGCATACATGTATTTCATAAAGACCACAAAAACATTCATTGATAGTGCATCATGAAACAATTTAGCAACATTTAGCAAATTACCAAAAAATAATAAGCAGCTAGCTACATTTCCAAGTAGCTTAGTCAACTCTTGCCAATGTTAAATGCAAGGAGGTTTATAAAACTTAGAGAAAGCTATACATTAGTATTTCTCATGGCAACATGAAACTATTTTAGCTAATCACATGAAAACAGATTTCTGGAAATGATCAGAAATTTGCCATATTTGCTGCTTGTGCTGCATAAATTGCACATCTTGACTTTAGTTATCCATGTCTTTCACCACGTTTAGAACCACATGCTTCAGTCCATTATTATCTGCGATACAGCTGCCTATTAGTCATGATAGAGTGAAACAAAGAACGTCCTCAAATGTACATTATACAGATTTCTGGAAATGATCAGAAATTTGCCATATTTGTAGACAAACATCTAATTAGCATCTTTAAAGAAACAGATTTGCATACATGTATTTCATAAAGACCACAAAAACATTCATTGATAGTGCATCATGAAACAATTTAGCAACATTTAGCAAATTACCAAAAAATAATAAGCAGCTAGCTACATTTCCAAGTAGCTTAGTCAACTCTTGCCAATGTTAAATGCAAGGAGGTTTATAAAACTTAGAGAAAGCTATACATTAGTATTTCTCATGGCAACATGAAACTATTTTAGCTAATCACATGAACTGTAAACGCCATCTGACAGATTCTTCTGAAGGCATCACTAATTGTTTGATCAAATCAGGCACTGGTAAGACAATCTTTAATGCAATGAAATATTTGTGATGTCTGTTAGTGGAGAAAGATGCTAACCATGCTAAAGGTAACCAGCAAAACATTGGCCTACAAGGCCTCATTTATGAAACATGAGCAGAACGAATGCATGTCATCCATAAATCTATTAGTATGTAAATTGTCATATTAAATTAGATGTTTAAACAGTTTTACAAACTATTTACACAGATTTCTTGCACAAATTTACACAGATACAAATTATGTATGTGAATCATGTATAAGGCCTAATGGATGTACTGTACAGTGCAAAAATATATATATTTTTGTCTTTTGTCAGTTTTTCTTTATTATTATTTGTTTTAACAAATTATTATTATTTTTTTCTTCCCTGTTTGGACACCTTTGAGATATGTAGAGGTTTACGTTTCTCATAATTCCCACTGAGTTAATTAATGTCCATATTTGGTCACTGCCTTGTACGTGTAGGGTGCTAAACATGTCCATGTACTCTTCCTCTATTTCTTTTGTTTTTCTCCATCCCATCCCCCTTTTTATGAACAGAAAGACACACATCTGCTTTCCATCACACCTTTACAGCTATGACTCGCTCTCTTGTATTCCTTTCATCTCTGTGCAGTTTCTTCACTCACTATCTTGCTTATACCTTTTACTCTTTATTCATCATATTTTCTACACTTTCTTTCTGCTTTTTGGGAAGCCAGTAACTTCTGTTACCGAATCTGTTAACTGTGTTTAAGTGAGTGTGTTTGCTTACCTTATGTGTGTGTGTGTGCGTTTACTCAGGTTTTACAATCACAGATTAAAGCAGCAGAGATGCTGACAGAAGCAAACTACTGTTCGGCTAGTAACAGTCTTGCCCAGGACCTTCGTGAACACAGTTACAGTGGATTCTGTCAATATAGATAAAGAAATAACCTCTCCACCAGTCTTTTGATATGTATGGTCACATAATTTTTTAGGATTGAATTTACTGTACCATATACCATTCTTTGGCTGAACAAGTATGATTGGTTGAGCCAATTTATCTTTTCCCGGCCTAGTTGGGACGTCAAACAGTTTGCAATTTGTTTGGTGCTGCTTGTGCTGCATAAATTGCACATCTTGACTTTAGTTATCCATGTTTTTCACCACGTTTAGAACCACATGCTTCAGTCCATTATTATCTGCGATACAGCTGCCTATTAGTCATGATAGAGTGAAACAAAGAACGTCCTGTTTATAGGCTGATCAATTCGACATGCAGGCGATTTGCTCAGCCAAACTAGTGTCATTCAAAATAGACTCATAAAGGCCATGCATACACACATATACTGTACATATACAGTACACACACACTACTATTGTAGTTTTTATTAATATT